ACAAAAATTATACTCGATTGCGTCATCGAAAGGACCCCACAATATTTAAATGGACATTGGTTACCCGTGATATTTGGATGAAATTCAAATATGTTATTGGGGATGCAGTAAGCAACATTTTTTACCATGGGCGCAACCTTGTATATATGACAGGTGAGGCGGTATCAGCTGTCAAATTTTGGAATCTAATGGCGTTTCCGATTGGTAGATTCAGTGCGCACTGAGTGCATTTGCATCTTTTTAAGCGACCTGTAGAAGAAAAAGAAAGAAATAGAAAAAATTGCACTAGTTCCTCACTAGATCTACCAATCGGAAACGCCATAATATTCAAAAGCAAGGTAACTATGGCAGATTTTGATGAAGTATATCCTATTCACAATCCGATGTTCACAGGTACAGGTAAATTTATCACATTTCCCTATCAAATAGCATTGAAAGGTGATACATTTTACCTGTACCTGTGGACATCGGATTGTGAATGGATAAAAAATATCGATTTCTACTAAGTCGAGCAAGGTAAATCGAAAAATGTCAACCGTTTTGACATCGTGTCAAAACCCTGCCAAACGGCAGAACTCATATTTTTCAGTTTTCAATATATCATGATGTGTCATTTGACATTTTTAACTTATGTAAATTTTGAGTTCACAAATTGAAAAAAAAAAAAATTAGAGAACTACTGTCAAAACTTGTCATTTCTTTTAGTAGAAAAAAAGATTCCAATTTGGTTCTCTATCGTTTTATGGTTGTTTATTGGTGATAAAACATTGAACAAAGCTCATAGACATGAAATTTTGACAGCTGTCAGAATCTGACAATAGCTTTAATTGAAAAAAGACTCAAATCTATAGTTCAGTTTCAATTATTTAAGTTATGCTTATTTATGTTAAAGCACACCAATCCAAAAAACTTTACACACAGGTTTCAGATTTGACAGCTGCCAAAATTTGATGCCTATGAGCCTTGTTTATTGTTTTATCAGCAATGAACTACCTTAAAACAAAAAAGAAACTTTTTCGTACTAAAATAAATGAGAATTTTTGACAGTTCTTTAATTTTTTTTCCAATTTTTGAAGAATTTACATAAGCTGAAAATATCAATTGTCACCTCATGAAATATGAAATATTGAAAACTGAAAAATACGAGTGCTTTCGTTTGGCAGGGTTTTGACAGATGTCAAATTGGTTGACATTTTTATTTTGGCACATTCTGGACATTTGGGTTTGACACTGGCATTGTCATATTGTCATGCTTGGCATCTACAACAATAAGGGCCCTGAACAAAAATGCTTTTTTTTACCTGAACGGCCATATTGGAATAGAAAAAAATCCGCAAAATAAAAATCCGCAATTCGCGGTTATAAGTAATAGGCTTTAATATTGCGGGGTCCTTTTTTGACATGTGTCAAAAAATCACGTTTTCTGTTGTCAAATCATCAATTTTTGACATTATGTATATTAATGTGAATTTTACAGGTAGCTCACGACATATCCATCATGTATAGAGTTTGGTGATCGTAGCTTGTATGGTGAAGCGGGGAGAGAGGCAAACATGCGTCAGATTTGACAGGTGACATCTGTCAATATCACCAAAGTTTCAGCGACAAAAATTCTATCCGAATGCGTCTTCGAAATTTGACATCTGTCAAAAAAGATGTTTGATCTTGTCAAGCTGTCATTTTTTGACATATGTCAATGTCAATTTGTTTTTTGGGGTCGGAGGATCGTTTTCCTACCATCGTAATTTTTTTTTCTTCGAAAATTGGAGAAAATTTTTTTGACGTTTCCAGCTGTCAAAATAATTTGATACTGACAGGTAGCCCACGTCGAATGAATAATCGTTATGCACCGAGTTTGGTGGTTGTAAAGAACCTTGGTTGTAGATCGTATAGTAAAGCGGGGGGAAAGGCAATCAACCCTATTGACACAAATTCCGCTCACATGACAGCTATCAATTTTTTTTTTGACAGTTGACGTAAAATAAAAATGTTTTGAAAAAATCTGTGCAAGATGTGGGAAAATTTTAGAAATTGTTTTTGCTTGTCATATTTTTGACATTGACAGCTGTGAAATTTAGCGTATTACTAAGTAATAACGCACTTGTAATGTAAATAAGTATTACATATTATACAGAGTGTCCCATGGTGGATGGCGTATTAGACGTTTACGGAAAACTAAAAAGCGGATCATTTTAAAAATTTGTTAACCGGAATAAACGACCAAAACTTTAAAAATGTTTTGTTTATGCGGTGTTGCCGCTTCTACTCTAAACCAGTGGCAACATCGCTATTTTAAATGGAACACCCTTTGCATATTTGTATTCTACATAAAATTCTGAGCAGTTTTTATGTATACCTAAGTTCAACTGTTTTGGAAATATTGACAGTTGAAAATTGACTTTTTGCAATTTTGACAGGCTGTAATACCTGAACGGTTAATTTTAGAGGAAAATCGATTTCACATTCCTAACTTAGATTTTCATAATAGTACATTAAAATACAAGTTTCATAAGACGTCATTTTATCGCACGAGGCGAGTTTTCTAAAGGGCAAATGTCTTATGAAACGAATATTTTATACTATTTTTTTCTATTTTGGTATTATTTAATTAAAAAAAAAACAAATTTTTCTTGAAAATTTTATTCTCATATTTCCTGACTTCATATGTTTAGGTTGGTAACACCACTTGCCAAATATAGAAATCTTCTATTATAAAATCGCGAATGACAGTTCGATGGCCATCAATCAGCCAGTGTTACCAACCTCCGATAAGTAAAAAAGGAGTGTCACAAAGAGCTTCTTTTCGAAACTACTTTTAGTGTCGAAAAGACTTCGAAATGACACCAAAATAGAAAATAGCTATTTATACAATAAGTTACGAAATGAGCGTCTTTTAGGCACGCGATGTGAAAATTGTCCAACGAGGCAAAGCCGAGTTGGACAACACATCGAGTGACTAAAAGACATCGTTTCGTAACGTATTGTATACAAGATTTTTTCTACTGGCATTTTATAATTAAAAAACACAATTTTATTTCATGTGAATAAGTCGATTACACCCAAAATCTTTGTTACCTGCTTTTACTTGACACCTGACACTTTTCTTGCGATTTTCTTTTCAAAATTCGACATCAATAATTAAAATCCTAGAAAGTAGGTAATAACACAAAGTTCTGTTTTGAGTAACCCAAACGTTCAATTCAGTAATTCCATTTTCAATATTCATAATAAATACAAAACAAAATTCAAATATGTGTTCAGTGTGTTTTTTATTTCTGAATAATGAATGACACTTTTAGGCACTAGTGCTTAAAAATTACTTTTACGCACTCATAAGTCACTTTTACGCATTCAAAAGTCACTTTTACGCACTGAGTGCCTAAAAGTAACTTTCACGCACTCAGTGCCTAAAAGAATGTCGTTTCAAAACTGAAATGACAATCGAAAAGTTGCTATTATGAAACGTCAGTAGAAAAACTATCATTCGACACTAACTTTGAATGTAACCGGAAATTAAATTTAATTGGAATTTTTGATCATGGACACCCTTGTATGCATATACCTTTGAATTCTGATTTCAAAATATTCAAACCTCAATTGCTCGGTAACCGTTGAGCAAATTGCATTAAAATTTTCAGCATTTGTAGCTCTTATTAAGCTCTAAATGGCCTGTGATTACCAATATTCCCAGAGTTATAGTTTTTGAGCAAATTGAGTTTGAAGTTTTTGACAAAATTTGGACTAAAAGTCAACTTTTGCTCAATTGTTTAAAAACTACTAAACTACTCAACAATAGGTTCATTCCAAAAACGACAACTTTCTGATAAAGTGACGGCAAAATGGCCCGTGATTAACAATATTCCCAGAGTTATAGTTTTTGAGCAAATTGAGTTTGAATTTTTTGACAAAATTTGGACTAAAAGTCAACTTTGAGGCTCAATTGCTTAAAAACTAAATTACTCAACAATAGGTTCATTTCCAAAAATGACAACTTTCTGATAAAGTGATGGCAAAATATGCTGTTTTCACTATTTTTGGAAGCGATTCCTTGTTAATCATCTGCTTTACACAAAAAATATAGAATTTGAGTGTTTTTTTTTTTTATACAGGGTGATATAGGAAGTGCGGTAAAAATTCAAAATTTTTGTTGCCACCCCATTTCTACAATTATTTTTGTTTAATTTTTCTAGGCATACCCGAATGATTATTATGTTAATCCCTCAAACCATTTTTGGATTTTATTTTATATCTTTTTTTTTAAAAAATAATGCAAATTTAATGTTATAATGATACCCAGAGCTTCAAACCCATCGTGAACAAGTTTAAGATTAATTAACTGGATCCGCCAGTTCAAATTTACTTGCTATGATCACAATTAAAACTAACTGACGTAAAAAGGCTTTATACAAAACATACAGGGTGTGCAAGGATACTTTAAACTTGAGATTTCTAGTTTTCCATAATTTTGTCATTTTCAAAGTTAAAATATATTATAAGGAGCACTCTACTATAATAGAAATTTAGCAACAACGAAAATATATTTTTAATATCCTTCAAAAATGGCTACTTTTCTCTAATTTAAACGCTCTCGCAACTTTAACCATTCCCCAGATAGCAATCCCTATGTCCCTATGAAATATTTGGGACCCTCGGAATTGTCTGGATGGACCAAAATTGTGCAGAGTAAACTAGAAATAAGTAATTAATTTATTTCTGCTTTAGCAGAAGACCCTTTTACAGGGTTGTTTTTCATTTCTGATAACCCTTTAATGCTGAAATTTAATGTTTAGCACTTTCCTAGTAGAACATTTTGGATGACTCACCCAATATTTCGCTGTTATACCTACCTTAGTTATAGAGCAACTTGTAATAATAATTATTTTTATCCTATCGCTATAGTGTATAGATTTTATATTTTATTTTATCGCACCTTATTTTGTAAATGTCTATATTTTAGATTTGAAGTGTTGTCTATGGTTTAATAAAAAAAAAATGTTTAGGCCCCAGACGAATGTCTGAACGTGACCTGCCCTCTCGAGTCGAAGCAGAACGCACCATCCCCTCCTCAAAATCAGTCCCCGCTTTGCACCAAATCCATTCACCCACCCAAGAGCAACCCAGAGCTGTTGGAAGTCAACCGAATAATTTTTTGGCTGAAGGGTAAGAACCAATTATCCACTATTTTATTATTCAACTAATTATTATTATAGTTACAGTAGAACATCGTCAAACAATAGCATAAACACAAAAAGCCGTTCCACACACAATTTAAATCAGCAACAACAACAACAGCAGCAGCAGCAAGACAATGGCGGCTTTTATCAGAACCTTAGCGTTTATAGAAATAAAATTCCTAGCCCTCAGCAACAACAACTTGGTGATAGAACATCCGCTTTGCGTTCCTCACAAAATTCCTTGCAATCCTCTGTAATGTCTCCTCCTGTCAATTCCCAACAAAGACCTTCCTCAGCTTATTATCCCACCAATCAAACTTTTAATCGACCCAATTTGCACCAATCAATTCCCAATTTAAAAAGTCCGCCTTCGATGCAACGGCTACAGCAAGAGGGACTTGCTGGAAGTTATCCGAATGTTGCACCACAACAACAACAACAATTTTATGGGGTGAATAATTTGCATTATAAATTAATTACAAATTTAGTAAAACATTATCTTGCAGCAACCTCAAACTCTTGTCAGGCAACCACAACAACAACAAAATTACTCTGAGGAAGTCAGACCTCAGTATAACCCGTCCAATCAGCCCTACCCATCACCAACACATAATAACACTCAAAATTATGCCCAAGCAAATTATAATGGCATTAATAATTATTCACAAGGACATCAATCGAAGTTTGAGGAAAGAGTTGATAGTCAAAGAAGTTATGCAGCACAAAACACTGGCCTCTTACGAGAGGACGTTTTCAGGCATTCTCAAGGTGCTAGACATGATGAAATGATGCGGTATCCGAGTACTAATAATGTTAGAATATCTGAGGCTCAGATACAAAATAGTAGGGGCAGTGAAGAGCTTAATAGGTAATTTGAAAGGTTTTCTAATTGCGTGGATTTTATTATGTCATACCAATAACACTCTAAAAGCATAGGTACCATTTACAGCTTGTTTTTTGGGATATGTAAATATTTTTATAATATTGTTTTATTTTTATTTAGGCACCAAGAAATGAGAAATTCGAAAAGCGACGACACAATAAAACACCACACACACCAAGGCGAAATGTTACGATACGCCAGCAGTGGTAATATTAGAGCTCACGATATTAATCAGCCTATAAGACCTTCAGCTCAAGAACACCTCCATCAGCACCGTTTAAGCAATGAAGAAAGATTGCTGAGAGGACAAGCAAAATTAGCTGAAATGGGCGAAGAAGTGCGAAGACGCCAACAACATCAGCAGCAGCAGCAGCAACAACAAAATCGACTTTTAAATCAAATACCACCAAACACTTACTATCAACAACAGCAACAACAGCATTATTACAACAGTCAAATGGCTCAGTCCATGCAAAACTTATCCATAAATCCTCACCAGAGCAATAACTACAACCAAAACTACAATACCATTCACCACTCGGGGCCTACTTCTCCAGGATATAGAGGACAAAATAAACCTATAAAGAAGGAAGAACCAACTCCTGCACTTCCTCCCACCACTACTCATCCTCTTTACTCACCTACATCACCTGAGCCAACAGCTACTTACACAGCATCAAATCAGGACCTACCCAAAATGGCATTATACCCAATGTCTCCATTAGCAACCAATAGTAAACCTCCTAGCAGAGATCCTTGGGCACGGGAAGAACAAGAAAGACAACAAGGTAAGTGAATCAACAAGATGAAACCTGTGACTATTCTAGGCGAGTTTGGAAATGGAACAACATGTGACTTGATGGAACTGTAAATAAGTAAATGTCAATTGGCAAAATTTTCATCCAGATGTTTATGGAGGTAGTTTCTGAACTCGCCCAGAGACACTTTTTGGTCTGTGACATTTTTCTTTGTACCATCGTCACCAAAAGTAACTGGGACAGCAGCGCATTAGCTCTCGTCCTATTATATGAATTTTATTGTCAAATATTTGTCAAACTATGCATTAAATGCATTGAAATGAATGACAGTAGAATTAGTCCAGGAGATTATTATGCATTATTTGTGTTCCAGTTACTTTTGGTGACGATGGTACCAATCACGCTTTCTTCCGCAAAAAGCTGATATAGGGAAAAAATAAATAAACCAACTAAGTTGGGTTTCCTCTTCTTTATATTTTTTGCGCAGGTATCTCTGAGAAATTATGATGATTCATATGTTATTCAATTTCGAAAGTTATTTTCATTAATATTATGTTCTCAGAGGCAAGAAGAGAAGTGTCTAGACAATGGCAAGAACAACAAATTCGTGAATTGATGTCATTGCCCTATAGAACACCACAGCAAGAAGAACAATTGAGAGTTTTGCAGTTGGAAAGGGAATTCCAACGGAGAGCTCAGGAAGCTGCCGGAGAAGACGATGATGAGACTGAAAAGGTAAAATTACTATCTGCCTTGGATTGTGTTTGTAATATATGTTTATAATTGCAAAAATTAGGATTCTCCAACTCTCCACATGCCTCAACCGGTCCCCAGTCAAACAGTGATCAGTACAGTTTCTTCGACCACAGTCTCGAGCAGACAAGAACCTACACAACCACCTCCGCCGTCAATTTTGAAACCAGGAGCCAACAATCCAGCTCCACCTTCTATGACGAATAATATTTCCCGAGAAAATCATATGATCAATCAGCGGCCGCCTTCTCCTGTGGAATATATTGCTGCTCCTCCGCCACCAGAAAGGTAACAACTGCAGCTGCGTAAAATAAATATTTTTGAGATTAAATGAAGAATGAACGCTTTCACGGCCAGTCAAATCTAGTAAAAAAGTTTTTTTTCGGGGGTATAATGCCGTAGTCGAGTAATATGAACCTAACGTCTCGTCTACTGCTGCGGTAGACATCTTCAGAGGCGGTGTGGTAGAGGACGAAGTGTCCTCTTCTGTAAGGGTATTTCCTGTTTGGGCCAATGAAACAATACTCTGATGGAAGCACTGTTTATTATAGCAAAATTAATTTAGCGTTTACACTATGGATACAGATTATATCAATTAGAATCATCAACTAAAGAGCGGAGCTCGTCATAAATGAACAAATAGTATTAAATTTTTCTTTACACAAAGCCTTGGTAAAAATATCAACCAAATTTTTTTCACTACTGACATATCCTATCTCTAGAACCTTTCCAGAACAATATTTTATAAAATGTTCCTTAATCTCTATATGTTAGCCACGTTTCGAGTTTTCGTAACTTTTACTCATAGAAATGGCACTTGAATTGTCTATCTTCAGGATTACATTTGTCACTTCACTAAACTCCGAAAGTACTCCTTTCAAATTTACCAGTTCTTGTGCAGAAACTGCTACTGCGACGTACTCGGCTTCTGCTGTGGATAAGGCCACACAAGTCTGTTGTTTAGAAAACCAGCTAAATTGGATTACCAGCACAAAGAACCACGGAACCACTTGTGCTCTTCCTGTCAACTTTATCACCAGCCCAGTCTGCATCCGAATATGCCACTAAGTCCAGCTCATTTTTGCTATACACCAGTCCTGTTTCAATGGTGTTTTTGAGATAGCGTAATACTCGTTTTCTAGCTGTCCATAAAACTTGATTCGGGCTCTCCATATATCTCCTAAGATATGAAACCGCATGCATGATATCTGGTCTTGAAGTGTATACCAGGTACATCAATGATCCAATCAGTTTTCTGTAAGGAACACTTAAAATCTCATCAGATTTTTCCACTTGAAATTCAGTGACCATTGAAGTTGTAACACCTTTACAATCAGCCATGTTAAATTCTTTTAGAATCTTCTGTGTGTAGCTTTTCTGTGTTATCGTCACTTTTTGGGATGTTCTATTTATTTCCATCCCTATGAACTTTTTAAATTCACCCAGATATTTAACATTAAGTTTTTCCTTCAGGATACTAATAACACTTTGTTCCTTGTTCTTGTTTCCAGTTACAATCAAGTCATCCACGAACACTAAGAGCAAAACATCTGCTTTTGAATACAGACAAAAATCATATTTAGATATTCTAAAATCTAAATCTGTCATGATTTGATTGAATTTGTTGTTCCAACATCTCAGGTACAGTGCTCTGTTTAATTTCAATACTTTGTATCTGTCAATATTTAGCCCCTCGGGTACTTTGATATAAACATCAGACTCGACATAGCCATTTAGGAAAGCTGCTGGAATATCTAGCTGACATATATTCCAACCCCGTATTAGTCCATTAACAAGAAACACTCTAATGTTTGACAACCTTGCAACTGGAGCATACACAGTGCCAAAAGGATTCTCCTTCTTAATCTGAAATCTCTTAACTACTAGCTGTGCCTTCTTTGAACCATCTTAGGTTCTAAATACCCATCTGGTATCAATGGTCCTCTTGTTCTCTGGAAGCTCACATACAGTCCAAGTTTAAAGATTTTTATGTGACTCTAATTCATTGTCTTTTGCATTTTGCCACTCAACAGATTCTTGAGCGTTAGAAAAAGTTTGAGGATCGTCTTGAGACTCAATGGTGTCGTAAACCACATATATCTCGTAATCTTCCAGGTGTTGTGGTTTATTCACCTGTCTTCCAACTCTTGTAATTGTTGGTTCTTAAAACTCTTGTATCTCTTCATCATGTGAATCTTCAGATTCAATATTCTTGGCTTGTATAGAATTGTTTTCAGAAGTTCCAGACATCTGCTCAGAACTGTCTTCACTCTCCGAGTTATTTTCATGAAAACCTTCTCGATTTACTTCTTCATCTTGTATTAGCCATATTACTAGACCATCATCTTTTTCTGCAGGTTTTGTTTTGTTTCCCTAATTATTGCCCCAATTTTATTATTGTTCTCAAAGAAAACCACATCTCTGCTGTGTGTTATTTTCTTTGTTCTTGGGTCTATCAGCCTAAAACCTTTCGTATTTTCGCCTTAGTCTATAAAAAGTAATTTCTCAGATTTCGGGTCTCACTTCTTCCTTAATGCATCTGGTTACAACCAAATATTCTTAAATGTCTTAAGTCTAACTTTTTCTTGAACCATGTTTCATAAGGTGTTTTATTTTTCACTGCTTTGGTTGGAAATCTAGCAGTATTTACTGCCTCCGCCCAATATTTATTAGACAAGCATGCATCTGATAGGATACTGCGAGCTTTTTCCACAATTGTCTTACTTGCTCGCTCACTCACCCCATTTTGTTGTGGAGTGTACCTGACTGTTGTCTGAAGGACTATACTTGCATGTTTAAATACATTTCTCAATTTATTATTTACATGTTCTGTCCCATTGTCGGTTCTTATTATTTTGATTTTACAATCAGTTTGATTTTCTACTAGCCGCTTAAATTCTCTTTTCTGACAGAAAATATGCAAATATGAATCTAGAATATTCATCTATCATAGTAAAAAAGTACTCACCTACTGCCTCCAAATGATGCTGTCTCCATGGTACCACATAGATCACTACTAACTCCAAAATCTTACTTGACTGTCTAGAACTATACTTGAATGGCTATCTAAATTGCTTTCCCTCTACACAGGAAGCACACGGTTCAGTGGTTATAGAGTTTATGTTCAAACCACTACACATATTTGACAATAGCTTCATATTCTTTCTATCCAGATGTCCCAACCGTATATGCCATAAATCGCTAGATTCTTTTACACTCGAGTATACTCGTGTTTCATTAACTGCTTGTCGAACTGTATCTCCACTCAAAGTAGTCTTAAGCTGATAGATGCCGTTTACTTCGAAACCAGTGGCTACAATTTTATTTGACACATCCATAATCTGAGCTTTATGCCTGCTAAATATTACCTTTTGATCTTTTTGCACAATTTAACTTATAGAAAGTAAAACTGCTGCATCAGGAGCATACATAACCTCTTTTTTGCAGGTATGATTTTGTTTCTACCATTAATCACCACTCTAATGTTTGCTGTTCCTTGTGACACTACACTCTTGTGCTTCAGTGCACTTAACCAAAAATAAACAGTGGTTAAGGGACAATGTGTCTATAGCTGAAGCTGGAAACATAAAGACAGCTAACAATTGCGAACTCAGTATACAGGGTGATTCAAAAGTAAGCGGCATCCTTTCGGGGGCGTATTCCTTGCATAAAAATAAGACAAAAAGTTCCTATTAACATGGGTCCGGAAATGCTTTCTAAGGGAGCTACGCCCCTTCGAATAGGACACCTGAAAGACGTATTTTTCTCTATAACTTTGAAACCCTTCACAAATGGATTTTGAAAATTGGTGTATTTTATAAACATTTGATGGCAATTAAAATACTAAATTAAAAATTCAAAAATCTTAATCAGTGGCATCACATACTGGGGAGGGTGAGGGTTAAAACATCCCTATTTTTTTTACTTGTCAGGTTTTTGCGATTCTGATTGAAAATTCAGAAAGTTTACAGTTTTTTACACAGAAAAGCTATTCTTGGTTCAATTCGATACAGCGTACCGTTTACGAGAAAATTGACTTTGAAAATGTTCTGATTTGCGTATGTTTCGCAAAAACCTGACGAGTAAAAAAAAATAGGAATGTTTTCACCCTCCCCAGTATGTGACACTGATTAAGATTTTTGAATTTTCAATTTAGTATCTTAATTGCCATCAAATGTTTATAAAATACACCAATTTTCAAAATCCATTTGTGAAGGGTTTCAAAGTTATACAGAAAAACCCGTCATTCAGGTGTCCTATTCGAAGGGGCGTAGCTCCCTTAGGAAGCATTTCCGGACCCATGTTAATAGTAACTTTTTGTCTTATTTTTATGCAAGGAATACACACCCGAAAGGATGCCGCTTACTTTTGAATCACCCTGTATACTGAGTTCGGAATTGTTAGCTGTCTTTATATTTCCAGCTTCACTATAGACACATTGTCCCTTAACCACTGTTTATTTTTGGTTAAGTGCACTAGAGCACAAGAGTCTAAGTACCATGCTGTACCTTCTCTAAAGATAAGCAGGCCAGAAAGGCTGTGTTCCCCTTATTCTTATTGTTAACTTTATCAATCGGTTTGGCACCTCTGCATTATGCTTTATAGTGGCCAATTTTACCACAATTGTAGCACTTTATCTTATTTTTCTTAAGGTTTCTATTAAAACCTCTTTTTGCAAACATAGCTGCATTGCTATTTGCTGACTTTGGTTCACTAGTACTTACTACATCCTGTAAAAACTTAATCTTCACAGAATCACCAGTTATCTAAGCCCCACTACTTTCCAAATCCATAATCATAGACCAGTATTCGTCTGGTAGTCCTGCTAACAAGAGAGTGCCTGCCCATTCGTCTTCTACTTTAAATTTAAACTCATTTAGCTTGTGTGAGGTTGAGATTATTGTGTCACAATAGGCTTCTACTGATACAGAATCCTCTAACCTTGTTGTTACTAACTTTCTCAGAAGACCGACTCTTCTAGTAAGTCCCGAGTCCTCAAACGCCTTCTCTAGATTATCCCAAGCTTCTTTGGATGTCTTGGCTGTCTTCAGGTGTGAGTAGTTCAACTTGTCCACCAACAAAATGATTTTGGAATGAGCTTCTTTGTCTTTCTTATCGTCTGTCCCTCCTCCCTGTACCACCTGCCATAGGTCGTCTAATTCAAGAAGTGCTCTCATTGCAAACTTCCATTCACTAAAGTTGTCCCTACCGGTTAACTTATCCATTGACACAATAGACGAACCGCATGCCATTTTTGCGTGCTAGCACAAAAACAAAAACGCTATTACTTTTCTTTTGACTAAACTATAATCACTTTGACTGGGCCCATAACCTGTAAGGGGGTTTCTTGTTTGGGCCAATGAAATAATACCCTGATGGAAGTACTGTTTGTGGAAGCAAAAGTAATTTAGCGTTCACATTATGGATACAGATTATATTGATTAGAATAATCAACTAAAGAGCGGAGCGCGTGTTAACTATTTTGACAACAAAAGAATAATCAGAATAATCAATATAGCTTGACAGTTCTCCGACAAGGGCAACTGTCTGTCAATTATCACTTGTGGCTAAGGCCCGGACTAAGCTACTTTAACATTTTCCGTGTTCCTCCAATGACTGGATTCGACGTTGTTGGACCTGCGTTATCTATTTATTATTTATGTTACCCTATTTTCCTTGTCTCGTTCTCGGAACGGAAGGGTTTTGTTTTTCGGAGAGCTGGCAGTTAGCTTTTGTTAAGGTTCTTGCTCTCTTCTTTTCTGTTGAAGTTGTTGTGGTGTTTCTGTATCTCTATGGCTTTTATGTGGAGCCTGGTGTAGAAATGTTTGCTCCTATCCAATGCTTGAATCTGGTCGAAACGTCGAAACGAATGTCATGGTTTATTTGTGTTAACACGTGTTAGGCGATTGCTGATCTATTTGGTGTTGATAGAGCGTTTGGTTGTTCCTACATAGACAGATCCACAAGAGGAGGGAATTATATAGAGGCTAGCCCCTTCCTTTTCGAAGACGAGAGGAAAATAACGTAATTCAATTCAATTCAATAGGCTTTATTGTCAAAAAATACAGGATTTTTATAGACAAAGCAATAGCAAAAATAGTGAAAGTTAAATATTACAATTAAATGTCAAATGCTTAACTTGTACTAGGGTAAGTGTATACAATTTATAAAATAATTAAAATACCCAACGAAACCCAGACCAATCAGTGTAGTTCAACGCCGGTAGGGGTATTTGCCCTCGGAGTAGTTGTTTCTGACTGGTCAACGAAGTTCAATTAAAATACAATTCATAAAATACCTAAAATAGTTAAAACTCTTTGGTGATAGTCATAATACAAAAAACAATGAGAATAAAACAAGTAACAAGCCACGCCCATAACCCTGGATATAAATAACCAACAACGTCGAATCGAGTCATAGGAGGAACATGGAAGAGAACACTTCGTCCTTTACCACACCGCCTCTGAAGATGTCTACCGCAGCAGTGGACGAAACGTTAGGTAGAAATATTAATCGACCACGGCATTATAACCCGGAAAAAATTTTTTTACTAGATTTCTGAGATTGTAATTTAATATTCGGCATTTAGTGAACGGCGAACGAAATAATTTCAACTCCGAATCCTATCCACGAAATCCTATTTGCACTCATTGTTGTTTGTTTTCTCAAAAAAAACTTTTGAGACACCTAACTTCATAAGAATTTGTTAAATTAGCTTATTAGCAATTTTTAACTTTTTGTATTTTCAAATCATTTTTGTTTAGGGGCTCTAGTTTTGCTATAATGTCAATGCGTGCCAAAGAAACTGCAGGAAAAAGAGTCTCGTTTGAATCAGTTTCTACACAAAATATAACTCAAACACCACCTCAAATTCCCACCAGTTTAGCAGTAAAGGAAAATGTAAGGGAGGATCCAAATGTAAGCAACTATTTCACAACTATTTTACTTACAACTGACATAATGGTGTACTTTCAGAGCTTCATTCGACAAGCAGAATCTATGTTGGCATCACCCACAACGCCTACCGACGGCAGTCTGAACGTCGCGACAGCTACCCCAGGTGTAATTGGTGCGCAAGAAGTGTACAGAGACCCACGAACCCGGCGACTGGCCGAGCAACAGAAGAAGAGTCAAAACGAAGCCACTCCAGTGCCTGAAAAGCTGAGTTTCAAGGAGAAAATGAAAATGTTCGCAATGGAAACGGGCGAACAGGAAACTCCAAAAGATAAGAGTAAAATTAGTAGGGCGCAAAGAGAAATTGATAATATTGGGTCGCCGCAGCAAAGTTCAGGAATGGTCCATTAGAGGGCCCAGCAGCTATAAATAAATGTAAGATATAATTTTGTTTTCAGTATTTCCAGCTGAAGAAGTTGAGTCGTTTCTAAGTTTGTTGGCAACAGCTCCTGGAACGAATTGATATACAATTGTAACTTTGGATGATACAAGTTGCACAACCAAATTCTACAAAACTGCTAAAAATTATAAGGAATACGTAAAAAAGGATCCAGGAGATGTTGCCATATAAATTTGTGTTATTTATTTTGAAAAAGCTAACTCAAATTGAGGCTAAAATACTTTGAAGATGATCTATTGGTCTCATATTGAATTATTAGGTAAGGACAAAATTTTCTAACAGCTAACATATCTTAGAACAGACAATTGACAGAATAAGTAATTGATTGTGATACGTGGGATCATAAATTATTGATCGATAGGAATGAAAAGTAACATAAAATATCTTTATCTGTATTTAAAACACCAAAAGTTTTTGTTTTATTTTACTATGAAAGAAGGTGCCTAAAATGACTTTATCTTGAAGGGACCTAATAGAAAAAAATTGAGCAGCCGCTCCTTTAAATTGAATTAGATTAAGAGTATATAAATATGAGAAAGAAGCTGTAGATGGACCAAAAATTAGAAAATATATTTATTATTAAACTACATAACTTTCGTACCCTATTACCGTCCATGCTTGAGACCACAAAAAATTTATCCTTTTTAGAATTTTGTGTGTTTGTTTTTTGGACTGAATACTTTTAAAAATGACCACTTTCAATAAAACTACAACTCTATACTTTGTCTTATGCTAGAGTCAATATTTAAAATGGAAATAGACTGGCATCCGAGTTTTGCATACAAACTGTTTTTTTTTAAACTTATTTCAACAAAAAAACTCAGTCCAAAAATACCCTAATATAGAACGTAGTGGCTTAAAAATTATAGTTTAAAAATTGAAATTTTATAGTCTTGAAAAAATTATATATTATGTAGTAGTAAAATTAAGATTACTTCAAAAACAAACAGAGTATTTTGAAATGTCTTCTTCTCTAACCTGTTATACTTGATAAGCAATATATCTTTGCACTTAAGGACCAATATTATTACTGGAACTGAAAATTCTATTAAAAACATTTACATATTTACACTTTATTTATTATGAAAGAAAATTTGAGAATTATGCTGCTCAAATTTGTAATTACATATTGCATTCCTTGCATTCTCTCTATTATTGCAGCAATTTTGATCATTTTTGATTTTGTGATTTCCATGTTGGGTGTTGGAACACACCTATTGTAAAAATACAAGCTTTATTTTTTACGTATTATTAATGGTTAAAGTTTCACTTTATTAAAATACATATATTAATTAAGCAATATTATTTTATTGTATTTATGTCGGAGAAAAATAATTAAATAATTTAGCAGAGTTGTGTATATAAACAAAACAAATATTAAGAGAAAATGTATATTGTACTAAAAGTAGTATAATTAAATAAGTTTCTGTCTGTTTATGATTTAGGCAAATTATTATATTGTATAAGCAAAATTATGATCTGTTAAATTATGTATTATTATTATTATTATTATTGTCTATTTCTTTCAAATAAAATTATAAATAATGATTTAACATGTATTTTTATTAAATATTAGAATGAAGGGGTTAGAGAAGTAGTAGTATAGCCATTTTCTCTACACATCTTACAGCAGTAGTAGATTGGAATTGATGAAAAAAAAATTACTGACCTTATAAAACTAGGAGATTCTTTTTTCACAATGGTGCAGGTCAATAACAAAATCTTGATAGTTACTAAATAGACTAATTGAATATTTTGTATAATTCTGTATGTCAGAAAAAAAGTATCAGCCCCAGTACAGAACCCTGTGGGACTTCAATAATAATAAAACCCTCTGCTGACGTTGCACCAGTCAGACAACCTTGTTTTCTTCACTCTTATCAAGCAAACATCTAACTTTCTTGTGAAAAAATTTGTAGCTGCCAAGTTTTTGAAGAAAGAGATTATAAGTTGATGTTAACCAAAGGTTTCAGGTATTTATTTATCTACAAGCGTGCGGTTACTAAGCTATATTACACGATTTTGCGTGCGGTAAGTACCACATTACCGCACGGCGTGCGGTAATATTATTACCGCACGCTTTACCTACATAGGTACGTACCTCTAATTACCTACCAGAAATAAATTACCTACCTATTACCTGAATTCTACTTGTCCGCTGTCAAGACGCATTTTTTTTGTTAATAGTTTTTTAAATTTATTTCGGATATTTTGTTACCGCACGCTTGTAGATAAAATACTGTAAACTGTATACAGGGTGTTAATAAATAATGGGATCAAACTTCTAGCATAAATAGTACTCATTAAAATTTAAAAAAAGTTAACAGAAACATGGGTCCGCAAATGCTTAGTTTTCAAGATACAGGGTGTCTAACTTTGAAAAAAAATTTTTTTTTCCTCAAAAATCCCGTTGCCGATTTTCTTTAAATTTGGCAGGTTTGTTTGTAAAAAAAAAGGTAACTTTTGACTCAATTCGTTTTACCGTAATTATTCCAGTGTCGCCCTAGAGGGCAACTATAAGAGAGATACGAAAAAAAAATCAAACTTAATCTATCATGTGCAGAGTAACAATATTATTCCAAAGTACCTACATGAGTGTATACGTAAGTAAACTATTCTTATAAAAAGTTTTAAAAATTAAGAATTAAGTTAAGCTACACTGTTGACAGATAAGTCACAATTTACAATCTAGCAAGGTTCACAAGTGACAGGTGACAGGTGCTCTCTAAAAGGTTGAAGGGGACAGAAAAAATCAAGAAACGGATGCTGGCTTATGAGAGACACGGATCTGGAGACAAAGGATTTTTGACCGTAGTTGGTGCGGTGACATGGTTGATAGAAAGTTGGGATATTTCTGGTACTAAAAGGTAGTACACATAAACCGATGCTGGAAGTGAGAGGTCAGTCAACAAGGGAGTTGAGAATTTTAAAAAGAAGGAGTAGGTCATGAATACCTCTTCTTTCTTGAAGTGATGACATATTTAGCCTTTGACACATTTCTTCGTGGTTATATTCAGTGTCTCTATAGAATTTGAAATGAATATGATGCATAAATTTCTTCTGCACTCGCTGAATTCTGTGGATATGGAAAGCATACTGAGGGACGAGGGTCCCATACAGAAGTGGCATAATCCAAGAGACTTCTAACAAGACTGCAATATAGAATTTCAATGGAACATACAGTAACAAAGTCAGAAGTATTACGTTTAATAAATCCTAACATTCTTAATGATTTACCAACGACATCAAGATATAATTCCAAGATCCTTTATGTTTACAACTGATGGTAACTTTGCTCCATTAATAAGATAATGAAAATTAGTATTAACTGTACGACAAGAAAATATCATAGGATTGCACTTAGAGATATTAACATGCATACCATTATCACGACATCACGCCACAAACCTGTGGATATCCTCCCGCAAATCAATGCAGTCGTTAAAATCGGATATTACTCTATACATTTTTAGATTGTCTGCAAACAGAAGGAACTCCGAAGACTGGAAGCAGGGTGCAACATCATTGATAAAGATATTAAAAAGAAGTGATCCAATGTGGGACCCCAGACGGCACAGGAATTTCGTTAGACAGGAAATTGTTGATTTTCACAATTTGATCCTATTCGAAAGGTAGCTGTCCAGCCAGTAGAGTAAGGGTTTATTTATACCCATCGTTTTAAGTTTGTCTATCAGTACATTAGGTGGAACCTTATCAAAAGCCTTGGAGAAGTCTGTGTAGTGTAGACGAATTGAGTAAGGAGATTCTTCAGTATTTCTACCCACACAGAAGCCAAACTGCTGGTTAATGATTTCAGGAGACAATAGTGAGCTTTACATACTTAGATACAAGGTTTTCAAAGATTTTAGCGATGGTATTGATGAAGCAAATGGGCTGGTAATTTTTTATTATGAACTTGTCTCCAGATTTATGTATTGGGACGACAAAATTTGTTTTCCAGAATTTGGGAAAAGATCCACTTTGCAAAGATTTATTCAATATGATGTGTAGCGAGAATAAAGGGGCAGATTTTAGGAAAGACAAGATGAATATTATCAGGACCCGGACTCTTAATCTTACATAATAAGCTCAGTGTATATGTCACATTTGAAAATGGAGTAACTGTGACAATAAATATGATTTACTGACAACTTTTGATTGCATTGTGGGTTACAGGCAGAGTAGACCGAGAAGGGGGTTTGGAAGTACACCAGAGAAGTTGAAGAAAAGGCATTTAGTGTAAAGGTGTAAATTTCTTTATTAAATATCAACCGAGCGCTTTCGGCCTAGTGAAGGGCCATCATCAGGGTCGGTCTCGTCAGGTTCGCATAGTGGAGAGAGAATTACAGAACAAAGGCATGTTTTGGTGTAGAATGCCAAATTAATAAAATAAAAAACACACAACAGAAGTGAAAGGTGACAAACTAACATCCAGGAGCGCTCAATAACAACCAACTCCAAAATATATTTAGGCTTTTTCCAAAAATCTTTCAGTGCTGATTCTTTCGTGGTTTTCTTAATATTTTTTGATTTTTTGATTTTCTGAACCACGAAAAAATTAGCACTGAAAGATTTTTGGAAAAAGCCTAAATGTATTTTGGAGTTGGTTGTTGTTGAGCGCTCCTGGATGTTACTTTGTCACCTTTTACTTCTGTTGTGTGTTTTTTATTTTATTAATTTGGCATTCTACACCAAAACATGCCTTTGTTCTGTAACTCTCTTTCCACTATGCGAACCTGACGAGACCGACCCTGATGATGGCCCTTCACTAGGCCGAAAGCGCTCGGTTGATATTTAATAAAGAAATTTACAGTTTTACACTAAATCTGCTTTTTCTTCAAGGAAAAATAACCTGCAAATAGGTTGGCAGCATCAGGACCCATGAAAGCACTTTTATTGTCAAGAGTGAGTAGATTAGGTATTTCAGGCACATTGCGTTTAGGATTACGGAAATTCCAGAATGGTTTCGAATTAGTAGAAAGGTAATTTTCAGTGTTTTGGAAAAATTTTCTATAACATTCCCGGGAAAGGCCTGCACACTGTGATCTTAGATTGGCAAAAACTTCATAGTCATGAGCGGATTTACTGTTTTTGTAATTTTTATGAGCAATCTTCTTTTGTATTATTAGACTTATTAGCTTTGTTCCAACCCAGTAGGAAACCGTAATATTACCATCAGGATTTTGCGCAAAACTTAAAATTTTTGTGTAGAAACCGAAATTCGCATACAAAGTGTTTCCGAAAGCGTTCTGGGATAGTTTTTTGACGGGTTGGAACAAACCTACAAGATCTTGATTGAACCACCTAGAAAACTTTCCACTTGGTACCTTTTTGACTAAAACAAATAGATCAAAGTAACTATAGACAATATCATAAAATGTGTTTAACATGGAATCTACATCCAGATTGAATACCAGCAGAAAGCTCCCAAGTAATTGTTTATTGATACAAAGTCTGCAGATTTAGAATCATGGTAATAGCAATCGGCACTAGTACCAACAGATGTGTAACATGATTGCGGAATAGGCGGGTCAAAGCAAAGGGGTGAATAATGATTATCAATAGTGACCAGAGAATCACAATAATTAACGCTAAGCGTTTTGTGGCACAGAACTAACAATTTATTGAATTACTTGAGGTGAGACGTAATCATCATTAGAAGGAATACCCACTGCACATATGTCCTCGTTAGTCCATCTGGCCTTAGGCAAGTTGAAGTCACTAGCCACACACAGTTTAGCTTCTGGATAATCCTCACAGATTATGTCAACTGTGTCGCAAACCATTGACTAGTGTTCAAATTTAAAATCTGGAAGTAGGTACACACAGCCAAGAATGCACCTTACTTTTGGGTAGCCAATGGTTACATAAACTTGCACAAGAGGTGCAGTAGTTGGGAGGGAACTGCAGGGGACTAACCTATGTATGGCCAACAAAACTCCACCCAAACACTTTCTTGTTGCTTGTTTCACCCGAGCGATCATTCCTAAAGATGAAATAGTCCCCCAAGCCCAGCTCTGCGTTCGACATGTCATCAGACAAGTTGGTTTCCATTATCATTATAGCCTAGTAGTTATGCAAGGCCGCGTTACATGTGAGAGTAGTGAGAGTAGCTCTGGATAACAGAAATTCCAGATCTTATAGAAGAAAGGAGAAAGAGCAAAGGCAATAAAGAGGAGTACAGAACACTACATAAAGCAGTACAGAGGAAAATTAAGGAAGCAAAAGAAGAATACCTAGTAGCTCAATGTGAGGAAATAGAAGTACTAGAACAGAAATTTGATAACTTTCACATGCATAAAAAGATAAAGGAAATGGCTGGATGCAACAGAGTCAAGGCAGCTAGTGGCTACATGACACAAAAGGGCGTATAATAACTGACGTAGGGGACAAAACCTAAAAGACGGAACTCTTCGATGCTGCTCCCAAAACCGGTCTTAGAATCAAGCAATGTGCACTTTAAAATATCAAGATCAGAAATAGTATCTGCCTTGGAAACTATGAAACTTGGTAAAGCTGCCGCTCAGATACCCTTAGAGCCTATCAAACTCTTTGATGATGCAATTGATATTCTGCTGGATCTTTTTGACCGCCTTTATGATAAAGGAGAAATTCCTTAAGAACTGTTATCATCTACTTTTGTGCTCATACCCAAGAAAGCAAATCCAATAAGAGAATTACCGAACCATCGCACTTATGAGCCACACCTTGAAGATGTTCTGAAAGATCATCCATAGAAGAATACAGAACACTCGAGGAAGACATGAGCAACACACAGTTTGGATTCCGCGAAGGAGTTGAAACACGAGAGTCGCTTTTTGGGATTAACGTTATTTTCCAGCGCTGTCTTGTCATGTGTACTATGAACTATTGTTTTATGTAGAAATTATCCATTGCAACGATCACATACCCGTTAGTATTGCTGGCTCTTGGACTAATGGACCCTGAAGAAAAACCACCATAAACAAACTGCAATTAGCCTTCGAAATATGGTGCTACCGTAGAATGTGACCTATTCCCTGGACCCTGGACCGATAGGATTACTAATGCCGAAGTGCTGAATGTTCAGAGCTGCAGTCAACAAAGTCCGGATTGCTGTGATAATTGCAAACCTCCGATAGAAGATGCACTATAAGAAGAAGATACATAATAATATTCAAGAGAAAAGCCAATGATAGGGATTCTCTGCCTGGGTTTATTTTCTCGTTGATGACCCCATTGAAAATTAGATGAGAGAAAAAATACTGTTAAAATAAAAATAACAGAATGGTGTAAGAAAATACAAGGAGCTATTCAAAATAAGCAAACTACGACTATGAGACATAGAGGAAACTGATAGTTTTGGTATGTTGTTTATTATAAAAATATAAAAATTCAATGGGTTTTTGCGTTGTGTTTAGGTAGTTTTTTTGTGGCTGGAAACTACTGCATAGGTACTTCGAAATATTCAATTTCCCAAACCCCTTTAAGATTTTCGTTATTGTAGCAGTTTCAACCAATGCTTTCATCTATACGGAATAATAAATCGTTTCGAGTGTCTGGGACGCCTTGATCGGAATTCCCCAAACAAACAAAATGCGATAATACAAATCTTGCAGAAGGTCAAAGTGCAATAGCAACCAAACAGAATTATTATCATGTTGGTACGCCTATTGAAAAATCATTTGAAAATATCCGCAAAGCAGGTAATTTCTCGGAATTATGTCGAGACCGCAGCTCATTCAATCAAAACCTATGAAAAAATCAAACAAAAACGCGAGGAGGCTTGGACAGGAGGAGGACAACATAAAATTGACACACACCATGAAAAAGTAAGTAGAAATAAGGTAACTATTCCTTGCACATAACAAACTTTTTAGGGAAAACTAACAGCAAGGGAAAGAATCCTACTTTTTTGTGATGATGATAGTTTTGTTGAATACGACATGTTCGTTGAACACACCTGCACTGATTTTGGAATGGATAAAATGAAGGTAAGAATAATAATAATAAAGTGCATGAGAACGAAAGTATAGTAGGCAGTTATTCTTATGTAGAAAAAAATATTTATTTATGTATAAAAACAGTATTTTCATAAGTCCTTTACCACGTGATAAAGTAGGTATATGATAAATAAAAACTCATATCGTTTAGAGATTATTGTAGAGCTTGAGAGTCTCATATTATAGTGTTGGGCTGTTTGTATAGCGGCTGTCCAAAATAATATATTACCTTTCAGTTTGCTTTAAAACTTTGATTAAAATTCCAGTTTCCTGGAGATTCGGTAGTAACAGGACACGGACTAGTCCATGGAAGACCACTATTCATTTTCAGTCAAGACGCCACCGTATTCGGAGGTTCTCTATCCAGCGTTCATGCTAGGAAAATTTGCAAAATCATGGATCAAGCCATCAGCGTCGGTGCGCCTGTAGTAGGACTCAACGATTCTGGGGGTGCGAGGATTCAGGAAGGAGTTGAATCTTTAGCAGGATACGCGGATATTTTCCAGAAAAATGTGTTGGCATCTGGAGTAGTTCCACAGGTAAGACAAAAATTGATTTAACATATTTTAAGAGCTGAACTAGTCCAGGAAACAAAGAACAATATATTCAGATTTTTTCCAGTATGGAATAGAAGTCTAGAACAAGAACATATGTCCAGAACGTTGACAAAATTTACCATATTTATATATTTTCTGTAGGCTTGCTTTTTTCCTCTATTAACCCTGAGGTTTAGAATTTGCTGTGAAAAACTCTTATTATCTACCTATGAGATCAGAAAATCTTGCCATTTCTTAGATGTATAATTAATTGAAAATCTACTTTTTAGATATCTCTCATAATGGGCCCTTGTGCAGGTGGTGCAGTCTATTCCCCAGCCATCACAGATTTCACTTTTATGGTTGAAGACACATCTTGTCTCTTCATTACTGGCCCTGATGTAATAAGATCAGTAACAAACGAAAATGTAACTTCTCAGCAATTGGGAGGTTCAAATATCCATACGGAAATCTCTGGAGTTGCTCATAAGTCATTCGAAAATGATATAGAGGCTTTATTACAGTTAAGGGAGTTTATGGGATTTTTGCCTCAGAGCAATAAAAGTCCTGTTCCGATAAGAGTTTGCGATGATCCGTGTGATCTGGATGTACCGATTCTTGAAACTATTGTGCCTAGAATCACTACAGCTCCCTATGATATGTTGGACGTCATTTTAGCTATAGTAGATGAAAGAGACTTTTTTGAAATTATGCCCAAATACGCCGAAAACATGATTGTCGGTTTTGCTAGGATGAATGGAAGAACTGTGGGGATTATTGCTAATCAGCCAAAAGTAGCTGCAGGTGAATAAATTATTTACCAGTAACTTTTTGAGCTAAAATTTTTAAATTTGTAGGTTGTTTGGATATAAATGCTGCTGTAAAGGCAGCAAGATTCGTAAGATTTTGTGATGCTTTCAATATATCTTTAATTACACTAGTGGACGTGCCAGGATTTTTGCCTGGAGTCCATCAGGAACATAATGGAGCTATTAGACACGGAGCCAAATTGTTGTTTGCTTATGCTGAAGCTACTGTACCAAAATTGACTGTTATTACACGAAAGGTAAGAATTGCTATCAGTTTACATTGATTGATGATAACTTTTTGATACGGAAATTTCTCGTCTGAAAAATACTAAGGCAACATCAGTGTGAACAGTTAATAAAAATATTATAAATAGAAACTAAGTACGAAGGTATTCGAGTTAGAGATAATGCTCCCATTGCATGCAAAATATGTTACTTTTATATATGTATTTGAAACACCATATACAATAAAACAACTTTCATAGCTTATGAGAAATTTTGCACCATTATCCAAAAATTAAAAATAAAACATTACGATTTCAGGCTTATGGTGGTGCCTACATAACATCGTCCTCAAAACACTTGAGAGGAGATGTGAACTACGCCTGGCCATCAGCAGAAGTAGCGGTAATGGGTGCAAAAAGTGCAGCCTCGGTTCTGTACAAAAACAAACTAAACATTGAAGAATTAGAAAAAGAATATATTGAGAAATTCGCTAGTCCATTTCCTGCAGCTCAAAAAGGCTACGTAGATGATATTATTGAACCTAAAACTACACGTTGGAGATTGTGCAGGGATTTAAATCTTCTTGCGACGAAAAAACTGGAAAATCCTCCTAAAAAACACGGAAATATGCCTTTATGATTCAAACTAACAAGTATTTCTAAAACATTATTTATTAGGCTTTATAATCGGGGTTCAATACATTTTTTAATATTTTGAAAAATTCTTATCACAATGGGATGTGTCAACATTTATAATAATATACTCATGAATTTTTTTGTTTTTAAATAAACTTTCGCAACTTTTTTCAGGACCAAATTATCACAAATAATCCGCTTAAAATAAAGACCATGTATCTACACAAAAAGATTCAGACATAAAAGGCGAGTGTACACTGGGCCAGAAGGTTTTGGATCAGGAGTTTCTAGCTTAAATCAAAAAGAGGAGAGAATTGCCATTTAATTCTGGCAACTGTGAGGACTAGAAATTATCCTACAAAACCTTCGAGAGTGTGTGATTTCTCTTATCGTCTTAAAAGACAGAACAATTTGAAAATTAATTCGATTTAGGCAAAATTCTTTTGTAGAATATACAGATGATATACATATAAATCAATTTTCAATTGTTCAATTTAAAACATTAAACATCCATAAAGCTTCTTTCAAGTAAAAAAGGACAATTTTTATCTAAAAAATATTCTTTCCAGGGAGGGTCAGTCAAAGATAAAGGCTATAATGATGCTAAATATTATGTAAGATTAATATTTTATTTGAGTTAAAGATAAATATAATAAAATAACGACCAATCAGATTTGATTGGTTCATGGTTAAACAAATTAAGATCGAGCAAATAGTTAAAGTTTTATATACATACACTTAAAGCTAATAATAATAATAAAAAAAAAATCATCACGAATAATAAAAATTAAAATTAAAATGATGGCAACAATTAATGCTAGAAAAAATTATAGTAAGTAATTAACTAATTGGTCTTAAACGAGATCGTTATTACCCTTAGTTTAGTACATAGACCGTGCCAGAGGGTATGTATAAAGGGTTAAGAGGGAAGATAGGAGATATCATACTATATTGTCATTGTTTTTTAGTTACACTTAACTATCTACTATCAACATTTATTTTTGGAGTATTTTTGAGGCAAAATGTGAATTTTGGCATAGCAGGGATATTTTAATATAAAATAAACTCTGCTTCACTCCTTTCCCGTCTCTGTTGCGACTAAAATAATTCAAAAACATTAACTAAAACAAAACTTATGCCTGAATATGCGCAGTTTAAAATAAATACATTAAAAATCATTTTCCGGTAGGTATAGGTACTAACCGTACTAACTAATTAAGTTTTTAGATTCCAATATTAAAATACAACAAAACTGCAATAATAAATTGACATGTTGCCTCAGAAAAAATCATTCCTATTAAGCTAAATTTTACCGTTATTTCTGTTCGTCATTTTCAGCTACTCAAAGCCAACACTGGTTATACATTTTTCAACTACCCTGATACCATCAACCAAATTTTGTCTTTACACACAAAATACGAATCATCTACAAATACATTAATACATTTTGGCAGTATTTTGGTCAACGTTCCACTGCAAAAAATGGTCCTCGTCTCTCTCTTTCAGCTAAAAAACCTAAAGAAAAAAATTACAATATGGGTGGCAAAAAAGTGCCGGAGTCGTTTAAGTTCGAATCCAATTTGGCGGTGGAATTTTCGATAATTTTCGCACGTACTTTGTCGCCATTACTCTTTTGTTGTTGCACAACGCATTTGTAATGAGTCCTGGAATGGCTGCTTCCAGAAATGCTACTCGATGATGAGTGACTGTCATTGGCTACGTTTACTTCTGAGTGGCTGTGCCTCAGTTCGCTCGATTTACTTTGGCGCGTGTGCGAAGCTCCAGAGAGGATCCAGGAGTGGCACAGAGCTTCGCTGGGGGTCATACGACGTTTGGGATTCCATCTAAATAAAGTAAATTTATGTCAATTTTGAAACAGGATCTCCTCAAGAGATTATTGGCTTAGGTTTACAAAAAAGACAAGAGTTTCATAAATTCATAAATTAGGTATGCTATTCAAATTTAACCAAAATCAACAGAACAGCCCAATATGAAATATCTGGCTAATTTAACAGGTTCTTGTACACACACTTTTTTTATAGATTTCGGCTTCAAATCTGGGAATAACTTGATGTATGGAGTTCGGGGATATCAAATGACCATTGGAATACAAAATCTCAACAAAAAAAAATTTGAAATTTCATCGTTTTAGTAAGAAGGTAGAGCTACCTTATGATTTAGATTTTGGAAAACTTTGAAAGGTCATAACTTTTTTTCTATTATAGATAGAAAGCTGAAATTCTCACTGAATTTTATCCCAATCAAGGGACTACAATCCCTGGAAATTTCAACTAATTTGGACTTATAGTTCCTGAGATAAAATCGTGTTAAGCAATTTGGGGTTATTTATCAATTTTTCAATTTTTCTGAGTGCCTTTTTTCATACATTTCGGCTTCAAATCTGGGAATAACTTGGTGTATGGAGTTCGGGGGATATCAAATGATCATTAGAATACAAAATCTCAACAAAACAAAAATTGAAATTTCATCGTTTTAGATTTTGGAAAACTTTGAAAAGTCATTACTTTTTTTTATTTTAGATAGAAAGCTCAAAATTTTCAGCGATTCTAATTCCAATAGAGGACTACAATTCCTGAAAATTTCAACTCATTTGGATTTATAGTTCTTGAGATAAAATCGTGTTAAGCAATTTGGGGTTATTTATCAATTTTTCAATTTTTCTGAGTGCCTTTTTTCATACATTTCGGCTTCAAATCTGGGAATAACTTGGTGTATGGAGTTCGGGGGATATCAAATGACCATTAGAATACAAAATCTCAAAAAAAAAAAATCGAAATTTCATCGTTTTAGTAAGAATGTGGGGATATCTTGGTGTATGGAGTTCGAGGGATATCAAATGACCATTAGAATACAAAATCTCAATAAAAAAAAAATTGAAATTTCATCGTTTTAGATGATGATTTAGATTTTGGAAAACTTTGAAAGGTCATAACTTTTTTTCTATTATAGATAGAAAGCTGAAATTTTGAGTGAATGTTATCTCAATTAACTACAATCCCAGGGAACTCTCCTATTTGCTACATACAGTTTTTAAGATTATTTAAGCTCAGTAGTAGCTTAGGTAGTCCAATTCGCCAGATTTAGAACGATTTCAAGTTTCAAACCAACATTTGTCTGCCTATCTACATTTTTGACTTCAAAGTCAATTTTTTCAAAAACTAGAATATGGTACCTAATGTTCAGTTTTTCAATGCCTATATAATATTCAACTATTTCGAAACTAACCCCTAATGAATAAAATTTGTCAGTTCTATTGTAACATTTCACTATAAGAAATATTTATTGAAACTTACTCTAAACATCTGGAAACGAAATCAATAAACATGGCATCACTGCAACGCAGTACCATAGGTAAACTTTTGCTTCCTGGTTTCCGTTTTCTGCCTTTTGAATTGGTAACACATCTGGGGTTTCCTCGAGAATCTACATGACAAAATAAAAACGTAACTATGAATCTTCAGTTGATTTTTCTGAAATATACCAAAGAATAATCTTCGTCTAGTAGCAACTGCAATCAAGTCATCGGGAGGTGCACCCAAAATTTCCATCAAACAGGCCAATTGTTCCACTTCGTTTTCACCAGGGAATAATGGATAACCGGTGTAGAGTTCGGCCAAAATACATCCCAGACTCCACATGTCGATCGGAGTGCCATAAGTCAAACCCAAAATAACTTCCGGAGATCTGTAGAATCTTGATTGAATGTAGGTGTAGACTCTTTGGTTGGAATAGCAGGAACTACCGAAGTCTATTACTTTTATTGAGCTGCTGCCTCGTTGTTTTAGTAGGACGTTTTCCTGTAAAAGAGAAAAAAAAATGAGGCTTTCTTATTTTTATCTTTTTTTTAAAAAACTAATGTGTATGTTTGATACTTTAAAACTTCGATGTGTTTATTGTATGTGCAAGATAATCCCTATGGATTAACCTTTTTAAGGTGTACTATAAAGTGTTATTATTAATAGTTAGTAATTTCTCAATTTGTTTTTTGAAGCGGTCTGCAAGAGCTTTGTAAACTAAGGCCACATACCGACTGTAAATTCCTGTATTGAAATTTAGGAGGATGCTCAGAGCACTTGTTAGTTTATTGTTCGTGGTTTGTAGGTAGGGTTAGTACACCTGGGAAGTTTGGTAACTGGGGAGTAAGAACCACTGTTGGATTAATACTCCCCAGTTACCAAACTTCCCAGGTGTATTAACCCAACCTAAAAACCACAGACAACAAACTACAAATTGTTCTGAGCATTATTCTACATTCCAATACAGGAATTTACATTGGTCCTTCGAGCAAAAGGAACGCCTATAGAGGAGACAACAACCAAAAATATTTGCCAATAACACAAAATACTAGGAACTATACTATCTCTAACCTTGTATTCTATTGCATTTTGATAAAAGAAATAGTAAAAATTTATGTACAAACTTTGGACGCATTAAACAAAAAAGATAAAGACCCAGATTTTATGTCTATTTTTGTTTACCGTTATAATATTGAGTCATAATTTTTAACAAAGAAAAGACCAACTGTATTATTTATTTTATCTATTTAATTTGTAAAAGTATAGCTGGCAATTAATTAATATATGAGGAATATTTTTATGATCATTTTATGTTTATAAATTGTCGTTAACGCCCAGATAAGGCAAGTGAACTAATAGTACCAGTTCTATGTGATTCGAATCTCGACTTTGTACAATGAACTTGTCTTATTTATAATGTCTTTGTCTTGTTCAATATTTTATTAGTCACATAAGTAAATGAGTTGTTTATGTTCAATATTGTATATTTTGCACGTGTTTAGAATAAAAAATACTTGAATATGCAAAATTGATAATATTCAGTTCTAAGCTGAAGCAGGAAGTCCCTAAACAGATTTCTTGGGACTGTAAGTCACTAAATTATTCAATCCAAAAACAGATGTGCCCTAAGGGGACAAGCAAATTTGCAATTATTGGGCGTGAGATTATAAATTGGTTCATTTTTTTTGCCAAGACTTGATTCTCCACTTTTGGACGAGGCGTTTTTTTCCTGACGGCGCTTTGATTGTTTCAAGCCTACACAAAACGTTTTGTCTAATTCATTATCATTTTTTTGTTCGGACCTGAGGAGAAAACCACTGTAGTGGAAGTTGATGTAGAAAATTGAAGATATTTGAGGAAAAATTAACCAAATCTTGCACAATTTCTCACTTTTTTAAAATTATGTACTTAGTTGTTAACATAATTGTGAATATTGAAATCAAGAGTTCTAGTATTAGTGATTTATCCGAGGGGTAAATCACTCATGGAAATCACTGTACACTTTGCTGGGCTGGGAATACTTTGGAAATACCTAGTAATACTTGGTTATACTCTGGGAATACCTAGGAATACTTGGAAATCAATTTCGAGATATTCTAATATGTATAATGTACCTACTCGATAATGATATATTTTTTTCTGGAATATTTTATTTTTCGTTTTGCTAGGCCATGCAAGAGAGGTTGGTAACATAGCATAAAAATTAAAACCAAGAAATCTACACTTTGTTGGTTCTTTTCCAATGAAAAAGTTTCTCTATCAAGTGACAGAGTATTACGATCTCAGTTACGAGTTAGAGGTGCGCAAACGAGAAGAACACATAGGTACCAAACCAACAAGTCAAAACACAAAGATCTCTGATCAATCTGCAAAGTCTAAGGCAAAATCCTTAAGAAAAAATCAGGGAAAAAATATAAAGAAAATACCGAAAATGTCCGAGAAAAAGACCATTATCCACTGATGAATCAAGAGAGTCCAGTATCTCGGAAATGGAGGTGCAGAGTAAGTTTGAGACTGAAAGTGAACCTGATAACTATTCTGATGACTATAACAGTCCATCCTGGAGCCCATCATTAAATATTGAATTAGAGAGTTATGAGATGAGATTTGGCAGATAGGACGAATAGTTTAAAAAGTGGAAGAAGAAAACTTTGAAATAAAATTTCTTACGCGAGATAGATAACTTTATTCGACCAAAACCTGAGAATGCCCTTTGGGATGCCCTATGGGCCTATATCCATCAAATGATATGGCCCTTTCTTCATCCAAAGGCATGATTACAGAAACATACAAAAAACATAAAAAATTTAAGCAGGTTTATAACAAACAAACTTGAAGTTACCTACTTGAACGATTTTCAAAAATGTATAAGTATCTTTGATTATGCAATATCGATATCGACTGTAATACAATAGGTACTTCGAATATATTATGTAATGTGTTTGAGTAAAATTCGTCCTTTATTTTCATATATGTATTAAATTTCCTATTACCTAAAGATTTTAAAATAAAATAGATTTACCTTAGGATCGAACCTAGGATAACAAAAAGATAGTGCGGGTGCACCGTCTATTTAAAGATCTATTCAACATTTCAGGGACATCTCTCCATTAGAATTAGAATGTAATAATAGAGGAAACTATTCCTATTTTCATTCGAAGGACACTCAACGGCATAATAACTAGGACATGGAAATAGTTATTTATGCAACAAGTGTGTAAAGTGAACCTTTTTTCACGAATGTGAAGGCGAGTGCGACAATCACATGAATGAAAAAAGGAGCTTTACGCACGTATTGCATACAACATTTTTTCTACTACCAATCAAATATGTTCAAAAAATAGATTCAGACAAATATACTTCACGCACTATAGTGCGTGAAGTATTTTCACTTTACGTACTAGTGTGTGAAGTAATTTACCATAAAAATACTAAATTGACAGTTGTCAACATCTGTCATTGACATTACTTTACGCACTAGTGCGTGAAGTGGAATTTTACATCTTCTGAATAGTGCGTAAAGTGAGTACTTTACGCACGGTAGTAGAAAAACATTTTTATTTGTTGGAAATACTTGGAAATACCTAAGGGAATACTTAACAAAACTAAAAAATACAATTTAGTTTTTGGAAATGCTTTGGAAATATCTAGGAATATTTAGAAATACTTGGAAATACCGCGCAATACTTGGAAATACCAGGGAATACTTGGAAATACTGTCCAAATTTGAGAAGAATTCCCAGTAACTGGAAATCACTGTACGTTTTTTCATGAGTGGTCGACACCTCGGATTTATCGTTTGATTTCGTCAATCAATCTCCTAACCATCTTGCCATTTTGGTATGATTATTAGCTAATTAGGTAGTAACGTAATATCAAAATGACTTCATACCGAATAAATCAATTTTTTTTTCTTTTTGCGTGCGCAAAGTTGAGCTTTGCGCATGGAAACTCTTTGCGTAGGTACTAATTTTTGTTACGCATAAATACCGTATTTAAACTCGATTTTTCAATGTTTTGATGGTTTCTGGATAAACTAATATTCAAAATGAAGGGTTTTAGTTGAATCTAGCGCGCTTAGTAAACATGAAGTTTCTTATCAAAGGTGTCCAAATTGGACCACTCTGTACTACTAGGAATTTGGTAGAATTTGTGAGATTTAAGAGAATTTCATGAGAATATTCTAGAAATTCCAGAAGATGTTAAAAGATTTTTGAGGACATTGAAGACATACTTGTAGAAAAAGTATTGTTCCTAACACTTGCGCAAAGTGTCTTTCCCACACTCAAAGCTTATCCGAACTCCGCTTCGCGTCGTTCGTCTAACTGCTTTTTCGTGTGGGAAAGTATCACTTTGCGCACTTGTTATGAAAATAACTATTCCGACATTCATATTTCACCTCACTTGATGCGGTTGGTTTCTCACAATGACCTGTTATTCACATTTCTACAGTAGGTGGGTATTTTTGAAGAAGTTACGTCTATATAATTACGAGTATGACTAAGATCTAGAGGACATTATTTTCAAAGACATGGTTTTACGGACCCTGAAAGGCATTATATTAGGTAGTTGTTGCTGGTTCTTAGTTGATTCAGTATTTTACTGCTTGTATTAGGGATATGGAGTAGATGGAATTCTTATGTTTCTGAGTGGAGTTATAGACATAGAAGATGGTGATGGAAGGCTTATCACATGGTCAGATTGGCTCTGTGTCATTTGCGCGACAGCCATCTGGACGAGGGAGAAAACCGCGATACGAAGCGCGGGGGAAAAATACGCGACTGGACAAAAGCGCGATATGCAAAAACGTGGGGGACAAAAGCGTGACGGAACAAAAACGCGAGGGACAAAAGCGCGACAGAACGAAAACGCGACTGGAATGAAACGCGATGGACAAAAACGCGACGGGTCAAATGCGCGAGTAACAGAAGTGCGAGGGACAAAAGCGCGACGCAAAAAAAGCGAGGGATAAGAGCGCGACGGATCAAAAGCGCGACTGGACAGAAGCGCGATGGACAAAAAAACGCGACTGGATAAAAGCGCGAGGGGCAAAAACTCGAGGGACAAAAATGCAAATGGACTTGAAGGCAATATCAAACTTACCGATAATAACCAAGTCAATTTGCAATTTTAATCAGACATTTCCAAACTTCCCCATAATAAACTGGTAAGTTTGCAATTTTTATCAGACATTTCCAAGCTTACCAATAATAACCCAGTTAGTTTACAACTTCAATCAGACATTTCCAAACTTACCGATAATAACCCGGTTAGTTTTCAATTTTAATCAGACATTTTCAAACTTGCCCATAATAACCCGGTTACTTTGCCGTTTTATTCAGACATTTTCAAACTTACCAATAATAACCAGCGCAACTAAACTTTGGTCACCCTCTCATTCCTGCCAGATTATTATCGGTGGGTTTGGTAATGTCTGGTTAAAATAGCAAACTAACCCAAACTAACTGGGTTATTATCGGTAAGTTTGGTAATGCCTGATTAAAATTGTCAACTAACAGGGTTATTATCGGTAAGTTTGGCAGAATCTGATTAAAACTGCAAACTAACTCAAACCAACCGGGTTATTAATGGTAAGTTTGGTAATGTCTGATTAAAATTGTGAACTCCGGGTTATTATGGGTAAGTTTGGAAATGTCTGATAAAAATGACAAACTAACCGGGTTATTGTCGGTAAGTTTGGTCATGTCTGATTAAAATTGTAAACTCCGGGTTATTATGGGTAAGTTTGAAAATGTCTGATTAAAATTGCGAACTAGCCGGGTTATTATGGGTAAGATTGGAAATGTCTGATTAAAATTGAAAACCAACCGGGTTATTATTCATTTGCATTTTTGTTCCATCGCCCTTCCGTTAATCGCGCTTTTATCCAGTCGCGTTTTTGCCCATCGCGCTATATTCCAGTCGCGTTTTTGTAAAGTCGCGCCTTTGTCCCTCGCGCTTTTGTTCTTCGCGTTTTGGTCTAGTCGTGTCTATGTCCATCACGCTTTATTCCAGTCGCGTTTTTGTTCCGTCGAGTATTTGTCTCTCGCGCTTTTGTTTCTTTTGTCCAGTCGCGTCTTTGTTAATCGCGCTTTTATCCAGTCGCGTTTTTGTCCATCGCGCTTTCATCCTGTCGCATTTTTGTTCCGTCGCGCTTTTCGTATCGCGCTTTTCTACCTCGCGCATACGGCTGTCGCGCAAATGACACAGAGCCGGTCAGATTGGGATTAGTTTAGTAGTTGGTGTCTCAGTTGCTGTTGTCTTGTATATGTTCATAATTACAGTGCAAGGAAGAATGCTTTTGTTCTGACTTACGCTTTTCAAAAATAATGTATAAGAAAACATGTGATACATTCCATTAATGAAGTTTATACTCTTCCATACATAGTAATAGACGTCTCGATACTTAATAAATTTGACACGAATAGCAATCACTGACTAGAACTCCTACCCTACCCTTGTCGAACTGAATCAAAACAAGGAGACATACAAGAGAGAGCTGGACAAAAAACTCTCGAAAGAACCCAGCAATGCCACAATCGACAATCGACTGCTTGGCGGAAAAGATTAAAAATGACATACTTTCATACCGTCATCAAAAAACTAAACTATTGAACCACTCCTCAAAATTCAAAGCTCAAGCCAGATACTCGCAAAATGATAGCGGAAAGAGGAAGTCTGCACAAAGATTCCCTGAATACACCAAAATAAACCGAAACATCCCAAAGAAAATTATGCAAGACCTAAGATGATACAACACCGAAAAAAAAGAGGTCATAGAAAACAACAAAAGCATGAAGATTCTTAAGCAGTCACAACGAAAAGGCAAAATAAGAATCCACCAAATAAACGATATAAGGATAGAAATATACAACACAAAGGAACAAAGATCATAACAATCATCCAAGAGTAGCTACTATAATGAACTCTACTCAGCACCACAACATAACCAAGATGTCGAACAAAACATGAATATAAAGAATGCAGGTTCTGAAGACATACCAGAAATCACCATCTTGGAGATAAGACTTGCACTCTCACAGCTTAAATCTGGAAGAGCTTCTTAGGAGGACGGAATCGCAACACAAATGTTAAGACTAGGAGGAGAAAATGCGCCTAAAGCAGTACAGTCTCTTTTAAACAGATGCGTTGAGACAAGTCAAATCCCCCAATCGTGGAATAATGCAAAGGTCGTCATACTCAACAAAAAAGGTGATAAAAATTTAATGGAAAACCATAAACTCATCAACATTCGTATAAACTTCTTACAAAAATCATAACAAACAGGCTAACATCAAAAATGGACTCCTATCAGCCAGAGGAACAGGCAGGTTTCCGGAAGGGATATAGCACCACAGATCATCTTCAAACAATTCACACACTTATAGAAAAATGCACTGAATATAACGTCCCACTACATAATATGGCTTTTGTAGACTACCGCAAGGCCTTTGATTCCATACACTTAAGCGCAATATTTAAAGCAATGGAAAACGCACGGTATAACATAAACCTGTTGAAACACATCCACGTGAACGCCACATTCTAAGTAAAGATCGAAAGCGACATGATCACGGACAAAATACGCATAAGAAGAATCGTGAGACAGGCAGTGGAAGATATATTTAAAACACTATCATGGGAAAACCAAGGCGTGAATGTCGATGGCAAATATCTAAACCATCTAAGGTTCGCCGTCATCGTTCCAATCGGCAAAACACTTGATGAACTGAAAGAAATGATACAGCAACTGAAGCAAGCATCGCAAGAGGTAGAGGACTAGAGATGAACACTGCAAAAACCAAATTCATGAGTTCAAGTGGGGCAAACCTACTTACCATCGAAGGCCAAGAAATAGAAAGGATGGACGGATACATCTTTCTGTGGCACCAAATCAAGCTTGGGAAAAAGAACCAAAAGGCTGAAATTATCAGAAGAGTGAGCATGCCCTGGGCAGTATTTGAAAGGTTGCGCTTTTTCTTGAAAAATCCAGATATTCCTATAAACATTAAAAGAAAAGTGCATGACATGTGCATACTCCCTGTACTGACCTACGGCCTGGAAGCCATGACACTAACCAGAAAAAGTGCAAATAAACTGAGTCACTCAGAGGGGCATTAGTCTGAGAGACAAGTTAAACAACTTCGACATAAGTCGACGCACTGGTGTGAACGATATGATCCAGTGCATAGCAGAAGCAAAGTGGAGATGAGCAGGCCACGTGGCGAGGCAACCGAACAACAGATGGACAAAAATAGTCATGCAGTGGAGACCAAGAACATACAAACGCGGCAAAGGGAGACCCCAGAAGAGGTGGATGGATGACATTTACCGGAGGACAGGGAGAGGATGGCAAAACATTGCACAAAGACCGTCAGAGATGGAAATTGGAAGGGCAGGCCTATGCTCAGGAGTGGACGTGACTGGGCTGCTTATCTCAATGTTATACCCTGGTTTAGTGCAATCAAATGAAGATAGGAATAAACTGATACAAGGAAAACAAATAAGTTTTCTGTATAAAGTAAGTCATTTATAGCTAATCACTAATCAGAGTAGGTAATCTGCATAGTTGAAATAACCCAGTGCCAGAGATTATGAAAAAAAGGTCTTCAAATTGTTATTGTTAACTGACAAGAGCTATTCGTTAGGTTTCACGAGTATACCTACATACCTATATGTTAATGTATGTACCTAAGTAGTTTGTAAAATCCATGAATTTTCTAAATACGCAGAAAAAAATGTGGTTTTAAAGTGAAAGTAAATCGTGTAATTAAAAAAGTGAAAATGCCTATTTTCACCCATCATCTTAAAACAAAAGTAACTCAGTCATTACAAAACTTGCGGCATATTGTATGCTGCAATTAGTGCGTGCAATAATATTATTATTGTTAGGTAGGTATATTGTTATCTATTTATTATTAAATGCACTTATTATTAGTCATGCGTGGAATTTATTATTATCTAATTTTCGTGCAATATTATACGATTTTGTTTTGCGCAATCAATGAATTTAATTTTTTTAACGCAACTTTAAAGGTAATAAAAATTAAAAAAAAAAAAAAAAACAATAATCAAATCAAAAATCTAAATTATTGATATCTGGCCCGCCTTTAAACAAAATAATAAATATATAAGATAAGTATTAGCATAAAGGAGCTAATAAATATACAATAATTACATGAATCTTACCGGTTTGAGATCGCAATGGATGATATTCTCTTTCTGTAACAGCCTGAGGCACTTTAGAAGCGAGTTCGCGAACCTCCTGATCAGGTTCAGGCTGAAGCCTTGGTAGTTGTTCTTTTTGATGAGCTCGTACAGATTTAAACTGAAAAAAAAAACAGACAGATTTTAAAATTTAGCTTTATGCAACGCAACATCTGGAATGACAGTAATTGAGGTTATTGACTCACTATATGTAGAGCCGAAACATTTGCTTTTATCGTCAAACAAAAGAAAAAGTCGCGTGAAAAGACTCTGTAATGAACACATCCTGTTTTACACAATGTAAAAGACGTATGTGACCACAATTTAACAGTAAAAAAAAAATTCAAATATTGTTATCTTGATTGTATGTATGTATTTTGTGTATGAACATTTGTTTTACATTGTAAATTAGGTGATGGCAGGTAGGTTAGGTACTAAAAAATGGGAAAAAATAGTGAGTACTTCATAGTTTTCGACCTCAAAAATTAAATTCTGCAAGTATTGTCAATGCTTTTCTCTTGCTAAGGAATAAAAAAATATACTTATTCAAGATTAAATCTACGATAACTAGGTAACATTAGGCAAATCAAAGAAATATAGTCGGGGAGCTGGCGTCGAAAATATGCAAGAGTTTTCGCAAGGCTCATATTTTCAGAATGAGTAGAATTTTAGTACTACAAAGCTAGGCTACAGTCAGCAGTTCCAGTTCCGGGACACCTGGCGCTGAGATGCGCGCAAAGGTGTATTTTTAATCAACACCTCGCAACAGTTTTCGCAAAGCTGAAAATTTGCAGAGAGCATGCGAATATAATGTAGAACCATAATTTAACAGTCAGACAAATAAATACGGGGACACGTAGAGTCAGCGCGACTTTGAAGTGGTCAAAAAAATGACGTCACCGAAAGTGTTTTCGCATGGCTGAAATTTGGCAAGGTAATAGTAAAAACAATATATTTATTGAAAAAAACAGTCAGACACTTCTATGTCGGGACCCCGCCAGTCAGCAGTCGATTAGAGTGATATAGGTGGTAGCGCGCGTCAATAGGCATATATCCATGTCGAATAATAATTTCACCAAAAGTGTTTTCGCCTAGCTGAAATTTGGCAAGGTAATAGTAAAAACAATATATTTATTGAAAAAAACAGTCAGACACTTCTATGTCGGGACTCCCTCAGTCAGCAGTCGATTAAAATGATATAGGTGGTAGCGCGCGTCAATAGAATTTTACTCTATATATAATATCCATTTCGATGAATAATTTTATTTTTATAATTTAAATTATTTGGAATCGGAAACGGTAAAATAAAATTGTACATGCAGTTAAAAAGTTTGCGGTTAGAAAAAAGCCCGATTCGTATAAATATTACTTGACCATTTAATCAGCAGTACTGTGATAGTATACCTATAGTAAGTTTCATTAAATACTTATAATCGTCGCCGATTTTATAAAATACAAAAAAAAAAATTCTAATCACATCTGCCGCTTCCCATCCCCTAATCTCGACCTAACAGTACCATAATGAAGTTTCCGAATTCGAATGCATATACGCCTTATTCAAGTATACGCGCTTACGCTTGCAACTTACAGGTTTACACTTACTCATTAAGAGAAAAAAAAATGTATTTTACCGTTTCCGATTCCAAATAATTTAAATTATAGAAATAAAATTATTCATCGAAATGGATATATATAGACGAGCGCTACCACCTATATCACTTTAATCGACTGCTGACTGAGGGAGTCCCAACATAGAAGTGTCTGACTGTTTTTTTCAATAAATATATTGTTTTTACTATTACCTTGCCAAATTTCAGCTATGCGAAAACACTTTTGGTGAAATTATTATTCGACATGGATATATGCCTATTGACGCGCGCTACCACCTATATCACTCTAATCGACTGCTGACTGGCGGGGTCCCGACATAGAAGTGTCTGACTTTTTTTTTCAATAAATACATTGTTTTTACTATTACCTTGCCAAATTTCAGCCATGCGAAAACACTTTTGGTGACGTCATTTTTTTGACCACTTGAAAGTCGCGCTGACTCTACGTGTCCCCGTATTTCTTTGTCTGACTGTTAAATTATGGTTCTACATTATATTCGCATGCTCTTTGCAAATTTTCAGCTTTGCGAAAACTGTTGCGAGGTGTTGATTAAAAATACACCTTTGCGCGCATCTCAGCGCCAGGTGTCCCGGAACTGGAACTGCTGACTGTAGCCTAGCTTTGTAGCACTAAAATACTACTCATTCTGAAAATATGAGCCTTGCGAAAACTCTTGCATATTTTCGACGCCAGCTCCTGGACTAATATGTTTCAAGAAAAGTTACTTATGTATTGCCTGTTGAACGTTGAAAACTGATTTTTCCGGAGTTGCCCATTTCTGGCCCCGGTCTTGAAACATGTGAGAGGTTAGAAGATAGGTATTGATATCAGACAATATGGAACTAAATAATGAGTCCTGTACCTACAAATACAATTAAAAACACCTCGGGTTCATTGTGGGATTATATGAAATGTATACCAATAAATTCATTGCCAGTTCTTATGACCTGAAAACCATGGCATTAAAACGAAAATCTTTACACATCCTCCAAGTAAATCAACTCGCAATCGAAAGGATTTTGGTCAAAGTATAGTCCGGAAGATCGAGTAACAAATGATATCAGAAGGAAAACGGAGGTAGCCTTGAGGTAGCAGATAATTCCAATTATGATTACCGAAAAAGAAACAATGCAACCATATCATCTGTTGCTATTACCTCAGACATCGTTGAGAAGTCGATTCTCGCCCAGGTCCTGACAACATTCCAACAATATTTTTGCAAGAATGTGTGAAATCTATCAGCTAGCCTCTTGCAAACGCAATGACTAACTTGATGATTAGCGAGAGAGTTCCGGAAAAATGGAAAGAAGCACACTTCATCCCAATTTATGAAAAAGGCAACAAGCTTTTTCCAGAAATTATCATCTTATTACTTGTATAACTTGCAAATCTATAGAAAATAAGTGGTATCCAAAGTATTGATAAACTTTCTAATAGAAAACAACATCCTTCCGTCTTCACAGCATGGATTTTTGTCTGAAAGATGTTACGATAAATTTATCATTTACGAAACATGTTCCATGTCATAAAGTTGTATTTTTGCCATTTCAGAATCAGCAAAATAATAATTCATAATCTAAGTAATCTAAAAATACCCACAAAGTTCGATATAATACCAGTACTGCCATCTATCCATCATGTGCATAAAATGCAAATATATATTGATAAATGAAGGTACTGCCATCTAGTACCTGATGGATTGGTTTTTCAAAGTGTGATTTTCAATTATTTCGCATTTGACAGTCATTTGTATTTTAATTTAAAGAAATTATATTTACCTCACTTTTAGCAAATGGATATATTTCTGTCTTTCTCTAACTTCTGATTCTGAAATAATCATTTTTTGGCCTAATGACCTAATTAATTAGGAGTTTTTTGTTTTTGACATAACCTTAATTTAAATTATAATTTGTAAACAATTAAAATAATTCTAGTGGATTTTTATCTATTTTCTTTTATTCCACGTGGTTTTTCATTGTGAAGTCATTGTAAAGTGAATATGGTATTTTGGGTGTACTCTTCTGATTGGTTGAACTGGTTAAAACGCAGTTAAGTATAAAAAACACAGGATAGTTTTCCTATAGGGTTTGGTTTCTAAAACGTTCTCTTTTCCTGGCAGTACTGTAGCTGTATCAGGCGAGTCATTTTTATTTTTATACTTTTACCTTCACATTTTTAGATTCTCCCTTATAAATTTTTTCATATATTTTGCTATCAGTGCATATTCCCATATCATTGTTAAGTTTTTACCTGATAAATCTTATCTTATCTATTCTTGAAATATAAGTATTATATTTTAATTTTTTATCTAGTTGTGGCCCTCCATTTTGTGCGATTGCCGGTGATTCCACGTTTTTCTGAGGTAAGTCAATTCAGATTTTTGGGCTAATAGATAGGTACTGCTGCTCTGGTTTTCAGAATCAATTGTTTGTGTGGGAATATTGAACCGTTTGCTCTAAATAGAGTCGGTGAAAACCAAATTTGTGTGTCCATCCCCATCAACTCTTTATTGAATCCAGGCAGAGGCCTATATAGCCATTTTCTGTTTGACTCCATCAATCATTATCTCAATTATTATCTTCTCGAGGAGAAAAGTGTTGAAAAGGGTATAATTCTTTGAAATGGAAATCCAGACAGGTCAAGAATTCATTCAAAAAGTTTTAATAAAAACATCTCAAGAATTTTGACATATTCTGGATTTAATTGATTTCACCGTCAGGTTTATCTTGTAGTATCTATAGTAGCTACCTTAATTTAAAAGGAAAATTTTGTCTATTTGGGCGAGAATCTACAGATTTAATTTCTTATTGTTTTTATCTTATTTTGTTTATATTCTTGCCTGTTATGCCGGAAAAGCAGCACTTTGCTCAACCTGTAGGGAACATTTTAATTTAATCTTTTTTATGATTATTTTCCAATTATTTAATTGTATTTTTTTTTATATTAAAATATTTTTTGTTTTTTCAATTTGCAATAGTTGCTCATACCTGATTCTGTTGGAAGGGAGTGTCTGTACAACAATGGTTTTATAATAAACTAATTTCATATTAATTTTTTGTTCTTTGCAAGACACTTTTTTGACCGAATTGAGGGATTTAATATTCCAAATCTTGGTGAACCTGATACTGCCCTTTTCTTTTCTGGGTACCTACTCGACATAAAGATCAATGTTTGGAGACTGGATCAGCTGGAGTGACGTCACTCCAGCAATCTATCCTCTTTCTTGGATACAGGAAACAACACGAAAAACTCCAGTTCACGAAATTGAAACCGCAACATCCCTTGAAGAGCTCCGGATTGGAAAGGTACACTGTATCAGATTCACCAGAACAACCAAGCTGTCAACTGTAAATTTTACAGAAAGTAACATTGACTGTTACTACATATTACTACATAACATTGTAAACAAAATAAAATTATTGTTTGTTGGATTTTGAGTGGTTTCATTTGCACATAAAGGGGCTACACGTTATCTTAATTTTTTGAATTCCACGACCCTAGGTACTCTTATCTTAAAGTTCAAATAGCCTATTAATTGTAACAAATTGGCGCCCAACGTGGGGCGCCAATTTTGTTACCTAGAGAAGTATTGGACGACCCTAGAAGACATCCATGAAATGGAAAGAACATGTAAAAAAGAAAATGGATATTTAAACCATGTTATTGATTACTGGGCTCTGCGGCTGTCTATAATTAGGTGTCCTAATAATATGTAAATTTTATCAAGAACGTAGTGCTTTAAGTTGAGAACACTTGGATTTGAAGATCTTAAAAAAGCCTCAGATCTACTACTAAAGTCAAACCTCTCACAGAAACGGAAAAACTTGGACAACAGAAAATATTGCTTATAGTTTAAGTAGAAAAAAACAGTTAAAAGTATCTTTTCAGTGCAGAAAATGCTGCACTGAAGAAAATGTATGATCGAAAAACAACTTAAAATCCCCGAAATATGCTTATGAAGATTTAAAAAGAGCTAAACATTTGCTATAAATCAGAAAAAGCTACCGAGTCTACTGTTTGCATAATTATTCATTTAAAAAAAGTCTATGTGTAGAATTTTTCTTTCTGCTTTATTTTTTATAGTATATACCTATCAATATAAATATATGCATTTAGGTATATAGAATATTTGCATATGTTAATTTTTTGAAAAATTACATGCCTATGTAGGTTTTCGAAATAAAATTTGAATTTACTAGTAGGAATCACAATGTGGGTTTTTTGTGACTCAAACTTTAGTTCTGTTCCGTAATTTCAATGATTATTATTTTAGTGTGAATATTTTGATTTAATGCATCAATGAATAATTTTAATGAATCGCAAGCTTTATAAGATTAGATTGTTTCGTCTGCAACAATTTTGTTTTTAACACTAAAGCTTAATTGATTTGATAATTGAAACAAAACAAGAACAGGATGCTCATTTTGTACATAATGTGAAAAAATCAATTATTAAAACAATTTGATAACGAAAAGCTCATAAGCTTGACTAAGTATACTTATAGGTAAATCACAGCAAAATATTCAAAATTATCTGAAATTATTGATAAATAATGGAAAAATTGGATAGACCTCTAATCACCCTGTACCTATACATGATAACACTTCATTAAAAATCAATTTTCATCATGGAAACTTGAAAACCAAAAGGAATTCGAAAAAAATACTTATTAAAAAGGGCCTAGTCCTTGGCGACCAGTTCAGAAAGTTATGAAATGTTCATAAAATGAATCCTCTCTCGTCTAGAAATTTCAAATGAGTATTTTTCTCCATAATGGGGTAAGGCAGAATGCAACTTTCCAAACAGTATAAAATATATCCAATTACAAGGGTTACATAAAAAGAAACAAATTGTTAAATTATATGAGACATAAGTTTATCATCTACTGCACTTAAAATCCAAGACAGTTAACCCACTTTGAAACAGTATTTGTTATTGTTTGCAGCAGTATTAAGTCTGTCAGTTCGAAAAGTAGGCAGTGTATATTATTGTGTAATTTTTAGGTCAGAGACTTAAATATAAAATTGGGTCACTTACCTTAATAATTCGAAACTAATACACAAATGATTCCTAAAATAAAAATACTCCAACATGTGAATAACGTTGTGGTTGCTGTCTTTGTCCTTTTTTCGCAAATGATCCAGTATCCTCACTTCGACCAGAGCCTGATGATGGAAACGTTTTTTGTTTCGGATAATTTTGATGGCTACGTGACGATTGGTCATGTGATCTAATGCACGAATCACTTGGCCGAAACTGCCTTTGCCTATCACTTCCAGGATTTCGTAGCGGTAGCATATGTGATCGTGAAGAACCTATTTTCCAAAGAAAAAAAAAAATGGATTTCAATCTAACGGTAAATCTGCAAGCAAGAGGTCTGGTTACGCATCATTAACGATCAGGCTTTACTCAATAATGTACGATTTTAATTGTATGGCTTTAAGTAGGTACCACCTGAGTAGTAAGTACCTATTGCGTCAAACTACAGCTATTTGCGGTCGAAATTGAAACAGAGTCTAAATGGTGTTATTTTGCTTTGGAAACTTCCTGCTTCCGTATTTAGAACATGAATTATGGAATCAGGGTACCATTTAAATTTTTAATGAAACAACGACTTAGTGGTCAATAAGGTTTTTCAAGTAAATTAAGGACATGAGCTAATAAGTTAATTTTGTATGGTTCTTCGACGTAATGTATTAGGCTTTTTATAAGTACTATCAGCAGGATAGTGTAGCCCACATTAGGCTGTGCAATACGAAAAAAAAATGTCAAGTACATTGACGCTATCTTATCTAATGTTGCGGGCAATTACACCAGCCTTCTAAATGGGTTACTTAAATGTGCTTGATTTGGCACTGTTTCCGATGTTATTATAACTCTATATTGCCTCATTAGTCACTAGTGATTTATTTTTTCAAGAAGACATAACACTTCCAATAATTAATAAGAAAATTTATAGATATGTTATTTCTCATAGGTTTCATTAAATGGCCTCCCTTCGCACCTAAACTAAAGTTTAAAGGTTTCATCCTAGCTGAAAATATTTAAGTTTAAAAATATTGCTATAGGACAGCTCCAATACTGGTGTTGCTTGCATCTGTGTCCAAAATCAACATGCATTTCTGATCAGGATAGGACAACACTGGGCTTGTACATAATGTTCCTTTTAATTTTCTAAAAGCGGAATTGCATTCTTGGGTCCAAATGAATGTTGATTTTTCTTCTGTTAATTCATGAAGCGGAGCAGCTATATTAGCGAATCCTTCTACAAATCTTCGATAATAAGAACATAATCCTAGAAAACTGCGTAGTTCATGTTTGTGGCGTGGCTTTGCCAATCCTTGACAGCATCTATCTTTCCTTCCATAACTTGTATGCCATCTTCAGATACCACGGGACAATTTCACTTTCTTTGGAAATAGAAAAACTTATTGGGATTGAGTTTTAAGTTGGCATTCCGGGAGCGGTCAAAAACTTCTTTCAGGTTATTGAGATGTTCTTGAAACGAATTTCCCATGATCATTACATCATCTGAATATTACCAGGCAAGTTCTCCATGTAAGGCCTCGCAAAACAAGATGCATCAGTCGCTGAAATGTAGCTGGAGCATTAAACAATCCGAAAGGCATTACGTTAAACTGGTATAACCCGCATCCGGTACTGAAGGCAGTTTTCTCTTTGTCATCTTTGTGTATTGCCACTTGCCAGTATCCACTTTTGAGATCCAAGGTGGAAAACCATTTGGAGCCCGATAGAGTTGTTAATTTATCGTCTATCCGCGAGAGAGGGAAGCTGTCCTTCTTGGTGTCGTCATTAAGCTCACGGTAGTCCACACAAAATCTAAGACTTCCATCTTTCTTCGTAACCCATACTACTAGCACAAACCATGGATTATTTGACTCTATAATTCGCTTTTGAAGCATTTTATCAATTTGGTTTCCCTCTTCCTGTTGTTTAGCTACTGGCGTAGAGGTGGTTGTCTAATTGAGTGTGCCAATCCGATATCAATTTTGTGTTGAATTAAACTTATACGCTTCTTTCAAGATGAAATCTGTGGCTTCCTGAAGTCTAACTGGATCGAGGTGTTTCCATGATTTCTCCAAAGTCTGCATCAAGGTGTCTGTATTCAATTTCGATTTTTCAAAATGTCGCTTATCTGGTAGGTCACAGTTCGATATTTGCTTAACTGGTTCAAGGGTTCCAATAATATCTCCTTTTATTTTTACTGTTTCAGAAGAAATATTGGCAATTCTTATCATAATGTCCTTATTTGTTCTTACTAGAGTCTTTCCAACGAGAAATTTTTCTGGTTTATCTCCAATAAAATTAGGTGTTAGTCCAACGCATCACCCAGGGTTTCTTTCCAATTTTCCGCAAATGATCTTCTCAGTACTTCCAGGAATCCCTACTGGGTTTGTGGACAGGATCTTAACGGCTTGAGAATCTTCTTGTGTCGTTAGGGCAAATTCTTCATTACCAAATTTAAGGATGTTCATAGAAGGATCGGAAGAGTAACCATGTTGGCCGATCAAATCCATTTCCAAAATAAAATCATCTTCTATATGGGCGACTAATGTTCTGTGACTAAAGGTGGTAGATCCAAAAGTAAGCTGAACCATAGCTTCTCCTTGAACTGGTGAGTGGTTGGATTGCCCGAGACTTGGCTAATGTTCTTCAGTACCCGTGTCAAAAGTGATGGTTTTAAATTCTCCATTAATTTGTCCTTCGAATTTTAATCCTCTATAATGACTGCCCAATGATTTTATGTAAACAACCCAGGGGGCTTCGTCATTATTAACAAGCAGTCGCCCCTCCGTACTGGTTGGTTCCTGTTTGTTATTAGGGCTGGCGTCTCTGGATCTTGAAAAGCGTTGGGAACGATCCCTAGATGGAGAGGACATCCTCACTCTACAATCTCATTGCATATGTCCAAGCTTATGGCACCGGTAACATTTACATTGCATTATACTAAGTTTCTCGATGTTGGTGTTTATCTGGAGTCGTTTCCCGTTTGTCTACCTTCTAGTAATAGTTTCCCCATTTTCTCCATGAATGTTCTAGAATTTTCCCGAAATTCCTCGAAATTCTTTTTGTGAATGACGATTGATGTCATCAAATCAAATCCGTCGGTGGAGTCACTAATTCGATAAGTATCTCCCTTGGATTCCAAATAGAATTTTCTAGAACTTACTTGAAAATTCACTTTCACAGTCAAAATCGGGATACAGTCACTTCCGGGGTAATTTAAGGTCTGTTTTTTTTTTAAGATAAAAGTCAAAATGACATTATGTTGGCAAAATGTAAAATTGTCAATGCTTTCAAATTTTTTATGTAGAAAAGGCTTGTGTTGCCAACATAGTTACTAAATTTTTGACTTGGAGAATTATCTTTGAAAAAAAAAACAGATTTTACACAGTCGGTTAAGACTCTTTTTGTGACTGTCACTGCGTGCACTGACTAACTGTCTCAGTGTTCACTTAGTGTCTACACTATTCACACTATTCTGCAATCAGATTTCACTTCGAAGTCCTCCAATTATATTCCACTTCTGACACCAATATCATGGTTCTAGCTTGTGTGACAGAAATCTTGGGTCCGTTTATTCCAAAATCAAAGTCCAATTAACACAACAATAATTTATTCCACGTTACTATACACTCTGACACTTACATTTTTGGAAATTTTCGTGATAAAAATGTTCAAAAATCAAAAAATCCTTAAAATTTCCAAAATTCACAGGAATCATAAAAATTTATAGAAATCATGAAAATTCACAAAAATCATGAGAATTCACGAAAATCATAAAAATTTCCAAAAATCATAAAAAATTTCCAAAAATCATAGAAATTTCTAAAAATAATAAAATTTTCCAAAAATCACAAAATTCATAAGGTTTTAAGAAAAATTTGTATGATTTTTGTAAACTTTTTTGATTTTTGGAAATCTTTATGATTGTGATTTTCGTAAATTTTTATACATATCTGTCTTTTTTTATGATTTTTATAATTTTTATTAATTTTTATGATCTTTGCGATTTTTCGATTTTTGATGATTTTCTTGAATACTTATAAATTTTGTGATTTGTGGAAAATTTTATCATTTTTGTAAATTTTTGATTTTGTAATTTTTGTAAATTTTTATGATTTTCTTCAAGTTTTGTGATTTTTGGATTTTTTTATATTTTCGTGATTTTCGTAAACTTTTATGATCTATGTTATTTTTTTTTTCTCTAATTTTTGTTTTTTGTAGTATCATGATTTTTGGAAATTTTTATATTTTTTGTGATTTTCGTATATTTTTATGATTTCTGAAAATTTTCATGATTTTTGTGAGTTTTGTGACTTGGAAATTTCTATGATTTCATTTTTCAAAATTTTCATGATTTTTATGCATTTCCAGGATTTTTGTAAAACATATTCCTAAATTTTTATGAGTTTTGAAATTCTTATGAGTTTTGTAAATTTTTATGATTTTTGTGAACTATATGATTCTTGCGATTTTTATAAAGATTCTATGATTTTCCAAATTTTTATAAATTTTTATGATTTTTAAAAATCTTTATGATCATTGCGATTTTCGTAAATTTATGTGATTTTTCAAATTTTTTATGATTTTTGGAAATTTTTGTGACTTGTAAATTTTGAAAAATTTTCTGATTTTTGAAAAATGTTATCATTTCATTTCTATGATTTTTGTGAATTTTTATGATTTTTTTCATTTTTTTCATTTTTGTGATTTTTCGAATTTTTATGATTTTTGGAAATTTTCATGATTTTCTTAAAATCTTATGAATTTTGTGATTTTTGGAAAATTCTATTATTTTTGGAAATTTTTGATTTTTATGAATTTTCATGATTTTTGTGATTTTTGGAAATTTGAAGGATTTTCTGATTTTTGGACATTTTCATTTTTATGATTTTTCAAACTTATTATTTGTGTGATTTTCTGTAAATATTATTTTTGATGTTTGATATTTTTATTTTTATGATTTTCCAAATTTTTATAATTTTTGTGATTTTTGGAAAAACTTTTAAAAAAATTACGAATTAACCAAAATCATAGAAATCATAGAAATTAGCGAAAATCAAAGAATTCATAAAAGTTTACAAAAATCACGATAATTAATAAAACTCGTAAAAATTTACGAAGATCATACAAAAAGTTATAAAAATTCACAAAAATCATGAAAATTTCCAGAAATCATAAAAAATTACGAAAATCACAAAAATCATAAAAAATTCATTCGAATATTACCATCACAAAAATTTCCAAAAATTATAAAACTTCACAAAAATCATAGAAATTTGGAAAATGACGAAAATCATAAAAAAAATTCCAAAAATCTTGATTTTTTTTTCAAATCATAATAATTTACGAAAACAAAAATCATAAAAATTTACAAAAATCATACAAATTTCCAAAAATCGTAAAAATTAACTCGAGCAACTTAACTCTTTACAACTCCTAAAATAATCACTAAAGTCCGTTGTTTTTAATCTGACACTTTCCGTACGAGGAGTGAGGGGGTGTTTCATATGGCAAAAACAGGTGTGAAGTCAGGTAACAATTGGCGTTCTAATGTAGGGAGTCACCAGCTCACATTCCATTGGAGTATCAGATTAAAATCGACAGACAATATCTAAAACGAATCACAGCCAATCTTAAAACTAAAAACTACTAACTAATACCGGCCTTTATACAGGGTGTCCCAAAAAGATACCGACAAACTTTAAGGGGTAGTAGGGGACATCAAAACAAGCATTTTTGTTTATATAAACATATGTCCGCAAATGAGCCATTTAGGCTGTAGAGCAAAAAAACTGTTTGATACTTTTATTCTTCGCAATAATTAAATCACTGTTTACTTATTAATTTTGCTTTATTATCAAATAAATTATGGTTTACAATAATTGTTCAAAGTGTTGACCATTTACTTCAATGCAAAGATTACACCGTCGGGTCATTGACTGAAAAGTTTAGTCTACGAAACACCTATTCGTAATGAGGAAGATCTGATAGCAAGGATACTGGCGAGTTGTACCCATGTAGAAACTATTCCCGGAATATTCCAAAGAGTTCGCGAGTTGAACAATTATTGTAAACCATAATTTATTTGCTATTAAAGCGCAATTAATAAGTAAACAGTGATTTAATTATTGCGAAGAATAAAACCAGATACCAAACAGTTTTTTTGCTCTACAGCCCGAATGGCTCATTTGCGGACATATGTTTATATAAACATTGTTGGTATCTTTTGGGGACACCCTGTATATCCGTAATCCATTCTTGTAAAATCCAGGATAAACGCAATAGCCTTTTTCCCGAATAGCACTGTAAAATCTAGAACCAGCTGTCCAATTCAGTACATCCTGGCGCTTCGGCTAGATTTCCGCGTCAATATAAATGATCACCCTGTATCTACTATTATTTAAACATATTCCTGATAGCTTGAAAAGTATTATTTTATCAGTTGCTTTCAGTTGAGGCAAAATTTCATATACAAGGTTAGTTTCAAATGCGGATTTAAAATGCTAAAACTATTCTGCTTTTCCAAAAGCGTTCTTTATTAGGTTAAATTACCTATTTGAGTTCTATTAAAGAAATATCTTACTGCACCATTTTTGGCTTACGTGATCAACGCCGCTTTAAAAGTACTTAACTATTTTTAGATCGGGGGAAAGTTAGTTTGGTCTTTGAAAAACTTTAAATAACAGAGATCTATGCGACAGACAACACGTAAATTCATGGGAATTTTTAGCAAGAAATTAAATATTCTGTTCTTGCATATGCATATTTCTAAATGTTGCGTCCTACATAGAAATCTGATGATTCGCGAAACAGATATTTGACGGATGATCTTAGTTTTTTTGTTCCTAAATTCTAAATACTTAATTTTAGTTGTAGGTACCACATCAAGTAAACGCCAACTCGAAGAAATAGATTCTTTTTGAATTATAGAACGGAGAGTAGCTGACATTTTCCATGACAGGATAATTTTTCACTTGATGCATCGAAGGTGTGCGCAGATAACATAGTATTGTCACTTGACAGCACCCTAATAATTTCATCTGAAACTCCAATTCCTAAGAATGATGTACGGAATTCAAAATCCTGTTCTTATATAAAAATTACATTATTGTTAAGTTTTCAAGACATTTTCCAAGCTTTATGCATAAACTTTGAAAAGAAAATCATAATTCAACCTAATTTTTCCCTTTATAGGTTTAAATGAGTAAATTATTTCACTTCGACTGCAATCTGTTGCATTCCTGGTGGCTCACAAAAGCCCCAGGCGCATTATTCAATAAAAACCACTAAAGAGTTCAAGCCTCTTAACGAAATTATCTGGCCTAATGGGTATTATTATACAAGAAGCCTAAATTATATATCTAGTCGCGGTATAAATAAACATATAATGGTGTTTAATAATGATTGTTTTTTACCTTATTGTAGCTTCCACTATCATCATCGTAACCGCCGTTTTGTGATCCCAAATGCTCCCCATGGATTTTGCAAGCGTTCAGTCCTAAATACCAGATTTTCGAGTATTTTTCTATTTCAGTCTTTTCGTATTCCGTTAGTCGATTTCCATAGAGACGGAGAGCCTCTGAAAAGAAATAAAAACATAATTTATTATAGAAAGAATCACTTAACTCACGGTAAACAAAAAAGGACAACCCTAAACTTGTTGAGTCTAACAAAATTATACCCACAAGAAAAGAAACTAAGTCATCACACTGCAGTGAAAATCGACGATTTTGTACTGGTCTTCCAGTGGAATAACTGTCATTTATGCCTAAATTATAGTTTTCTTCGTCAAACTTCAGATCGAAAACATCTTGCAACACATGACTAATTTTATCATTTTGGCACTTCTCCTATAGTTTGCTTATAAGTTATTATTACGTCCTAATTTTCAAAAAAAAAAGTTTGCCAATATTTGGCTGAACAACAATATCATAGTGAAAAACTGTAGCTGTGAAGAACGTGACCTGAAGGTATTTTCACACGGAAACAGAAACCCTATTAGGTTCTTAATTGCATAGCTTCAAGATCCCGTTATGGTATTTAGCTTTTTGCAACCAATAAAACCTCAAAACTCGTTAACTTTCGAACAAGATGAGATTTTCACTTTTTTGTAGGCACGCCAATGATGAAGGTACACCCTGGTTTCTAAAACCAATCGTTTATTTGATTTCGAAGAGAATCTAAACAAAAATAAACTAAAAGGGTCTCAAAGGGATTCATGTACTCAAAATAATGAAATAACAGACCATGATATGTTGGTAAAACATAATAATCATCTTAGTTTTTAGAGAGATCCTTTGAGATTGTTAAACTAAAACTTGGGGGACTCAATTCTCTACGATTTTCGTATATCTGCTCTTGTAGCAAAGATTTTCTGAGCTTCTCCTGCTGAATTAATTTCCAATTTCGCATAGGTGCATGATACGGAAAAGAAGAAAACAGGGACATTATTTGGAAAAAAAATGTATTGAGAACACGCTTATGCTGATACAATTCCTCCATAAAGACGTAGATGTTAGTTAAATGCCTATTGGGAGGAGGGTTCATTAACACACTCACAAAAGACAGTTAGCATAGAACATCCAATAAGAACAACATCGTGTGTAGAATACAGCTGATCCAAGCCCATGCATTTACCAAGAGGTAGATCAGTTTTACAAGGATTTGACAACGGCTAGGAAAGCCAAAAATAGCAAATTGTTTATTGAATTTGTAGACTAAATGCGAAGATAGGAGCGAAATCCCCCACAGACACCTAACTAGTCAATAATTTCGATCTTGGAACTTCCTCAACAAAGAACGTCTCCACTGCATGGACTTCTTCTATTGGAAAAACCCGAAAACGAAGTAAACCTGGGCTTTAGATTGATAGGTAGGTACAAAATTAATAAATAACCAGAAAGAAGTTGTCAGCGGAAGATATAGGTTCACAAAACCTACAACAATCTCTTCCTGGCGCTCCTAAGGCCAAATTGAACTAGAGTTGTTCAAAAGGCTCATATTGAACCCTAGAATTTGGTTGGAAAAGTGTTAAAATCACAATTCTGAATCATCTAGCTGAAATTTGCATTAGAAAGGCTTCGAATATCTCTTCCTGGAGCTCCTAATGCCAAAAATTGAACTAGAGAAGTGCAAAACTTTTATTTCAGGCTATTTAAGAGTTCAAGGCGTGTAGATGTCAGAAAAGGATCAATGACATAATCCTAATTTCCCCGTAAATTGAAAAACTTAGCGAAAGCCAGGCCCTCAGACTTCGGCAGTCCTTTAAAACCAGGCTGGTAGTAGCCCAGGAGGAAGAGGGACAGAGGGTGTTATGAATCCCCGGAGCCGACCAGGCTACCACCATAAACGAAAACTGCAACGAATATGGCTAATGGCAACATAGGGCGCTTTCTTTTATTCAGCAATGCATCCATCTGCTGCCAGCATTATGAGACATCCATTCCGATTTTCTATGAACTAGACAAAGATAGACTGGTCACCGCTGGATCCACCGCTGAATAAAAGAAAGCGGCCATATAACAACAGAAAATTGATGGCGGACGTGAAACTTCTGGAACTTGAGAACGAGCTGTAGCATATAAAATGGGATATACTGGGTTTATCAGAAGTACGCCGAGAGGTAGGAGAACAAATTATATTTTCGTACAAAGACACAAGAAAAGATATACGGAACTTTAACAATAGAAACAATAGAAATAACTAATATCACAGAATAAAACAAAGGCCTGAAAGTGCTAAAACGAAAGTTAAAGACCAGGGAGGAGGAATATTCACATCATACACGAACAACAAGAGATTCTGAATACCATCGAAGAGTATTATAGATCATTAGTTGGGATTATTCCATCCAAAATATGGAAATTCCAGTCATACAGAATCAAGGTTCAGAGGAACTTCCAGATATATCTGAAGAGGAAATTGAAAGAGCCACAAAATGCATGAAGAACAACAGAATCCCTGGAGAAGATGGCAGGCATGGCCGGAATTTTAACAATAAAGAAATAACCAATATCACAGAACAAAACAAAGGCCTGAAAGTGCTAAAACGAAAGTTGAAGATCAGGGAGGAGGAATATTCACATCATACACGAACAACAAGAGATTCTGAATACCATCGAAGAGTATTATAGATCATGTATAGTTGGTATTATTCCATCCAAGATGTGGAAATTCCAGTCAGGTTCAGAGGAACTTTCAGATATAACTTAAAAGGAAATTGAAACAGCCATAAAATGCATGAAGGAGAACAGAATCCCTGGACAAGATGGCATTGTAACTGAAAAGATGAAACACTTCCCAGTTTCATGCGTCATGAAAGCCCTAAAAGCTCTTTTTAATGCCTGCCTTTTTGGAGGGCGTACACCAGAACAATGGAAGAATGCCATTATGATAATCTTGCATAAGAAAAGAGACATAACAGAAATTGGAAACTATCGACCTATAAGCTTTTTTTAGGAGAATAATGACTAATAGAATGGGACATATGCTAGATTTTCACCAGCCACTAGAGCAAGCTGGATTTAGACGTGGCCTTGGAACAAACGAACATACCATCTTCTTCGTCAGCCCGTGTCCATCTATATTATCGAATATATAGAGGCCTCTTCCAGGTTTTTCCATGTCACGCGATTTCTCGCTAATCTCATCCATTGTCCCCCTGCCAACGTTCTGACATCGTCTATCCATCTCTTTTACGGTCATTTCTTGTTGTTTCTCTTGGTCTCCAGAGTGCCGTTTTCTGGGTCCTGTCTCGCCACATGTCCGATCCATTGCCACTTCTGGCTTGCTACCCTTTTCACAACATCCGTCACTTTGGTTCTACCCCGTATCTGTTCATTTCGTATTTTATCCCTTAAGGTGATTCCCAGCATTATTCTCTCCATAGATCTCTGTGCGACTCTCAGTTGCTCAGCTGCTCTTCGGAGTATAGCCGTAGTTTCTAAGGTAGGTGAGAACCGGCAGAATACAGCTGTCGTAGGATTTCCTCTTTAGTTTTATGTGTACCTTTTTATCTTTAAAAATAAAGTTCATGTTTCCGAATGCCACCTATGCCAAATGGATCCTGCGTTTGATTTCCGCCGTTTGGTTCCCTTTTCCCAACTCGATTTTATGTCCTAAGTATAGGTAATATTTTACATTTTCTATAATAACGTTGTCTATGGTGATGTTACATTCATTTTTGATCATTATATTGATCTTGTTCAGGTTCATTTTTAGGCCTATTTTCTTGGATTGTTCGTTTAGCTCATTTAGCATGTTGTTCAGTTCTTAAATGTTGGTGTTCATCAAGACTATATCATCAGCAAATCTGAGGTGATTGAGGTATACTTCATCGATGTTTAGGTCCTTGTTTTCCCATTCCAGCTTCTTAAAAACATTCTCTAGTGCTAGAGTAAATAACTTGGGAGAGATGGTATCCCCCTGTCGTACTCCTTTGCCAAGTGATATTTTGTCTGTTTTAATATTGTTGTCTATTTTTACGTGAAAGGTTGCCTTATCATAGATATTATTAATAAGGCTAGAAATGACCAGGTTTCAACGCTGTCAAAGGCTTTCTGGTAGTCCACAAACGCCAGATTTAGGGGTATGTTATATTCCGTTGTTTTCTGGATGACTGCTTTAATTATTTGCAGATGGTCTGTAGTGCTAAAGCCCCTTCAAAATCCTGCTTGTTCTACCGGTTGGTAGGAGTCTAGCTTCGCAGTCAGTCGATTGTTTGCCGCTTCTCAAGCGTGATAGGACATTTCCTTGCGAGTGCGCATATCCGTAAAAAAAAAAAAAAAAAAAATTCTAGTGAAAAGTTTATATAGGTGTAGTAGCAGGCTTATTGGTCTATAATTTTCTATATTTGAACGACCACCTACAAGTGATAAAGTCCTTGATAGAGAAACTTGTAGAATACAACAAACCATTGATATCAACATTTGTGGACTTTGAGAAATCTTTTGACTCAGTTTAGGTTAAAGGATGTTACAGAATGCAGTATTGATCATAGTTACAGAACCCTTCTTGAGAATATATATAACAATGCAACAGCTACAGTCAGAATGTATCATGGCGACACCAACAAATTCCCCTTGGAGAAAGGTATTAGACAAGGAGACGTCACCGTATCTCCTAAACGATTCACTGCTTTGTTATAAAGCAGCATGAAGAACAACAATTGAAGAAAACATCAATGAAGAATATCTAAACAATCTAAGGTTTGCAGATAATGACGGCATAGTCCATATTGCAGACAGGGTAGATCGTGCATGTCAGCTTCTCCAGGACCTCCAAAGTTCTTGTGCACAAGATTGCCTCAAAAAATCAATTTCTCCAAAACAAAATTCATTACCAACCTTGTACTGACCAAAAACATTTTAACCTATGGCAAGCACATATGTTGATTCCCATAAATATTAGGCCACGAGATTAAATTAGGAAGAGACAACCAGACCACAGAATTGAACAGAATAATAGGATTGACATGGACAGTCTAAGGAAAACTGAGGGATGTCTTTGAATCAGATATTCCCATTTGTTTGATGTCTTTGATCAATGTGTGCTTCCAGTTCTAACATATGGAGCAGAAACATTGACTCCAGTCAGAAAAGTTGTAAACAAAATCCAAGTGTCACAGAGGGCAATGGAGAGATCAATGTTGAATATGTATATACCTCAGAGACAAAGTTCCAAATCATACCATCGGAGAAAAAACCAGAATTACGGACGCAGTTGAAAAAATTACAATGCTGAAATGGAACTGGACAGGTCATGTTACCAGAGTCAGAGATGTTAGATGGACTAGGACAATACTAGAATGGAGACCTATATAGACACGTTGCTTATTGTAACTTAGGAAGTCCTCCAACAAGATGGATGGACGACATTAGGCGCATCCAGCTCAACTGGATTCAAAGTGCTAAGGCCGGAGGCTGAAGTGGTTCAAAAATCCTATACCTAACTGATCCATGTAGAGTTAAATTTCGATTGGAAAATGGTGAAAATCTCATGTCCGAATGTTCTAGCTGAAATTCGCATTAGCAAGGCATTAGTTTTCAAGTCCTGGGGCTTCTTATCCCAAAAAATTAACTAGAGAAGTAAAAAACTTCGAATTTGACTGTTTAATAAGAGTTCCATTGGAACTGATGTGGTTCAAAAATCCCATAATTTACCCTCGCAGAGTTAAACTTCAATTAAAAAATTGTGAAAATCTCATTTTCGCACCTTCTAGCTGAAATTTGAATTAGAAAGGCAATATACCAATTTCTATTTCTGGCGTTTGTAATGCTTAAAAATAAACTAGAGACGTGTAAAACTTTCATTTTTGACTATTTATGAGTTCAAGTTAAGCAATTCGGCAACTCGATAATTTCATAATTATTATTATGGTATAAAAATCAGTTTTAGAGTGTGTCAAAACGTTGAATTTGATAAAACACCAGTCACAAAAAGGAAAAAATAGAGGATTTATTCTGTAAACCTGAACCTGAACTTAAACACTAATTCGTTATTTACTGAACTAACACTTATTTGTTATTTATTACCTGTTGGTGTAAGAGGAAATGAAACCTCGTCTTTATTATTATTGGTAACTTCATGGTCCTTATGGGAGTTGTTATTGATTGTGGGTAGGTCCACCATTGGTGAATTTGGAGTGGACAGTGCGGAGCCCTGATTTAGGTTCAGTCTGGATGTTGATTTTATAGCTGATGTTATTGTTTCTAGATGAGGCAGCTAGGAAAAAAAAATACATTTTCAGGATAGAGTTAGTTGCATTGTTATGTTATTTTTGAGTAAAAATGCATGTTTGCCAAAACTTTATTATTTTAACCTTCACGTGCGAGCATGCAAGGAAACTTTAAAATTGAGACTAATATAATTTAAAATTGAAAATCGTTTTTTAATGACTCTGGAAAATTGCATTATAATTTGAAACACAACTTACGTCCGAACTGAAAAACGCACTCCTGGACATCCCATTACGGTAGCTAGAACTCAAGTAATGATGTCTGGATGATGAAGAGCTCGAGTGCGATCCATAATGATGCTCGGATGATGATAAAAGCGGTTCTTGGTGTTGATGATGATGGCTAAGCAGGGGCTGTGGAAAAATGAGAGCGGTAATCTAATCTAATTTTCTAATTTAGCATTGTGGTAAATGAGTTTTGATGCATTTGTTCATATATTCTATCATAATTACATGCAAAAATCCTATTGTTGTTTACCTACCTAAATATGATGAGGTTCTTTGTAAGTCATTGAAAGAAATGACTACAGTTCAGATGTGTGCACAATGAGCCGTAGTAAAAATTGAAGAGATTAGCTAGGTATACCATCTGGTACAAAATTGAAGTCTTTTATTGATTAATTTACAAAATTTGATCAATGTATATATGGGGGTACTTCAAAAAAATAGCCGTCAAGATTTGACTGTTTAAACAAAAATTAGAAAACATGGAAAAAATCTGTCAAGTTACTTATCTACACCTAACCAATAATAATTGTTGCAGGTTGCAGCTATAATCTAAGGTAAGTCAGAAGTTCTTCATCTCTTTTGAATCCCATTAGTCACCCAAAGTTGAATATAAAAAGATAAACCTATCGAGGATAAGTAACGGAATTCTATCACATCAAGTGTCAATTCCTGTTATTGAGTCAACAATAATGAAGGCGCGTTTTTCTATTTGAGATAATTAACTAAAACAAATCGGAAGTTAAGCGTTAATTATGCAATAATTAGCCGAGTTTTTACGGTGCTGAAATGCAGGTCGTTAATCATGCAGCCGATTTAGCAAGGTCAAGATCAATCCGTGAGAAATTGATAATAATAAAAGCCGAGTTAATTATGTCTTATTTATAATGAATATTAATTCTTACCTGGCTGTAAGTATTAAGTGCAGTTTTTGATATAATAGGTCCGTTTCTGGTGGTAACTTTAACTAAATGTCCGGAGTTAGACGACAGAACCTCTTTTTGGTGGTGCGAGGTCGGATTCTGAAACGAAAAAGAATTATTAGATAACAGTTAAATGAATAATTCATAAATTTTTTGTCATACATATAAAAGCATAAATTAGTGTTACATAAAATTGCAAGGTCAATATTGATTTCTTGCAAAGTGATTTTGTTTATAAAAAGCGAAAATAAAACTGTGATGTAATACGCCCACATTTTTGACGTTATACTTTAGTTACTGAATAATTGAAGGAGATTATTGTGTAAGAAAGGATTTCTTATTTATTTTGTTGATTCTTTTGAAGAATTTGATATTAATTATTCCATCGACGTTTGAAAAGTTCGCTTATTTTTATTCTTCTACTTCTATACTGGCCAACCGCAAATTAGTTCACATCAGATATAATATGCGGAAATGTTATTTAATAATATTAACCATGTGTAGCATGAGTTCATTCAAAGCTTCATACACTTTCATACATGTTATTTTCATAATAACTCCGATTTAGTTATATATATATATTTTTTTAAGGCTACGGCGGCAGAAGACTGAGATCACTTCCAATTGTGAGCGTTCCATGTTTTTGCCACTACATGACTAACTTTTCTACCAGGATCTCCAGTCCGGAAATGTATGTGTAGGTATGTGTGTGTTGGAGGTGTCAGTTGCACCGCGACCAAGGTTGATCTATTATACCCCTTCTTCTGCTGCTAATAAGTTCAGGTTTCCCGTTCAAAACAGCCTCTCCAGTCCTAGGTCCCTTAGGAATTTTAGGATGTCTAGCGGTTCCAGGGCTGGAATGTCTTCTAACTGTACTTTCAAGGTCATCCTTGAGCGACTAACGGTATCGCAGTTCAGTAGAAGATGGTGAGGTGTCTCTTCTCGGTCTTCACAGAATCTGCAGGTGCCACCTTCTTCTAACCCCAACTTCTGTAGGTGTTTCTTAGGTCTGCAATGTCTCGGGAGAAACCCGGTTAGAGTCGTGAGACTTCTCTTGCTAAGGTTGACCAGCAGTTCTGATCTTTTTTGGGTGAAGTTGCCCAACAGATCTTTAGCCTGTCGTAGGCCTGGGTGTTCTAGCCATTGTTTGTACCTTAGCCAGTTCTCTTCTTTTTTTGAGGATTTCTTGGAGGTGCGTATTTCCGACGCCGCAAAATGGTTCTGGCCCAGTGAAGGGAGTAGACACTCCCGTTCTTGTTAGTCTGTTTGCGCATTCGTTGCCCTTGACACCTATGTGTCCGGGCACCCAGAGGAGGGTTACTTTGTTCTGTTTTCCCAGCTCATTTAGTTTCTGTAGATATTCCCATACTCCGAGTATTTGCTCCATGGATTGGATAGATTCCATATTCCACCTGTTTTTTGTACTTGGTTCGATGGAAAAGATTTTCTCGAAACTAAATTTATCAACAATCACGTCTTTTGGTAGATCCATGAGGTGTGCACAGTTTGGGAGAGGAAAAGTTCTTTCAAGGTGCGTTTTCCTTTGTAGACCTATCTTCTCCAGTCTAAGTTATGATCCACTGGCAACCCGCTTCACTATTATGTGGAGTGGTGTGAGGTCTGGTATGACTTCTAATGCCGCGGTTGGGCATGATCTGATTGCACCTAGAGACATGCGAGTTTTTGCACTTTTCCTAGGGTTTTCTTAGCTGTTACTAACTGGGTTCGGCTATACAAGGCTTCCGCTCCATACGTGATGATAGGTGTCACTCTATGGTATACATCCATCTTAGGATTGATGGTTTACAACCTCATGTTTTACACGCAATGTTTTTGCAGACCATGAGTGCCAAGATTGCTTTGTTTTTTGTGTCGGTTCCAGAGAAGTTTAGAATCTAGGGTTATTCCTAGGAATTTAACTTCGTTTCTCCAATCAAGTCTGCCTTCCATCGAGGCGAATGTTTCTCAGGTTTAGGAGTTTCATTCTTTTTGTAAATGTTACCAGTGTGAGTTTAGATTCAGCCCCACTGTCTGAAATCATTCCTTTGTATGTAGTTCGAACTGCTTTTTCTATAAAGTCGCAGAGTATTTCTTCGTATTTGCCTCTGGTCATGATGAAAATATCATCGGCGTATCCAAAGCAGGTAAAGTCCTGATCGGTCAAGTAATCAGTATCATTGGGTGTGTTTCATGGAAAGTTAGTTTACAGTAGTAGAGCAGCTCGTTGCCCTTCATTTTTTGTGTAACTACCGTCTGGTTTCTTAAGTGTCAAGGCCCTTGTGCCCTGCCTTTCGTCAGGGTTTTGTATAATTTCGCTGGTGATTCACAGAAGTCTCTGAAGTTTTTTCGCTTGACCTTTCTTATTTCTTTGTTGTACCCAGTCAGCCTTTCGGTGTAGCCCTGCCATTCTCCGTCTCGTTTGGCTTTGTTGGAAAGCCAACGAACCTCGGATCTAAGTCGTGACAGGTGACTGTTCCACCATGGGCAACCATTTTTGTTTATTTGTTCTTTCATGAGACAACTGGATTCGCATGCCTCCATGATTGAACCGTTAAGAATCTGAAGGGTTTCTTCTACTTCACGTATATTCTTGCAGCTAAAATGAATTTATTCGAGGTTGCATTGCAGTTTGGTTGTGTATTTTTCCCAGTTTGTATTTCTGGGGTTTCTATACGAAGTGGTTCGTTCCTGCACTCCTTTGACGTCAAACATTAGGATTCTGTGATCAGAGAGAGAGGATTCATTGGAAGCTCTCTAATTCCTGATCATTTAGTCAATATTTGGACTACAAAGTCTAACATCTCCTGTTTGACCATATTATAGTAACAAATGTTGGTGTATTCCCTACATTTAGTATATTTAGGTTGATATGTTAACAAAACCTGATCAGACTCAGTAAACATGGAATGACTAGTTGGCCTGAACAATCGTACTCCTGGAAACAATAAAGAAACACCACCCAGTAAAAGACCTGTACAACCTTGAGGGCACCAAAATACTATAGTGGTTATGGAATAAAGGAAACAGGCTAAGTACAATAAGCCTTTTAAGGCTTCAGTGCTACATGGGGACAATAAGTCTGACAGACATGAGAGAGAAAAAAACCTCATGCCCTTTTGATAATTTCTCTATGATCATTTTATTAGGTATCTCGAAACAGAACATGCAGGTCTTGACAAGACTTGAGAAATGGTCTTTTTGGGAAGGAAGTTATCAACATGTTTGTATCTGTTCACCCTTTGGTTTATCGTTGTCTCAGTGACATTAGTCTGCTCTTTTGATAATTTCTCTATGATCATTTTATTAAGTTTCTCGAAACAGAACATGCAGGTCTTGACAAAACTTAAGAAATTGCCTTTTTTGACAGGGAGTTATCAACAGTTTTGTGTATTTGGCTTATTGTTAGGTATCAGTGATAACAGTCTACTCTTCTGATCATTTTATTAACTAGAAACATAGTACATGCAGGTCTTGACAAGACTTGAGAAGTTGCCTTTTTTGGCAAGGAGTTATTAAGATTTTTGTATCTGTTCGCCCTTTGGCTTATTGTTGATTTAATATCAACAGATCCACATCATTATGAATTGAAGCACACCTCTGGGACATAAAGGGTTGGAAGGTGTTAGACGAAGACACCTTATCCGACCATAGACTGATAACCTTCAAACTGGAGGCAAAGAAAATGGAGGAACGTAGATATCAAAACCCACGTTGCACCGACAGACACCATTTCAGGGAGCAGCTGGAAGTGCAACTGGACGAAAATCTGCCCCTCACACAAAATCAGACAGGCCCAGATATAGAAAAAGGCATACTCAATCTAACTGAGGCAATGGTCAAAGCCTATGATGCGGCATGTCCGCTGAAAACAATACGCTCAAGTAGAAGAACTCCTTGGTGGAGTTTGAGACGTGTGACTCAAGAAAGAAAGCAAAAGGCTTTTCAATAGAGCGAAAAATACCAAAAGGGCGACTGACTGGGGTGCGTATAAAGCACACCGAGAACAGTATAAAGGGGAAATTCGCAGATCACAGAGAGAAACTTGAGGACATTTCTGCAGTGATATACAAAACACTACAGCTGCAGCCCGGCTGAAGAAGGTGCTTTCCAAAGACTCTCAACCGCTAGGTCTGCTGAAAAAAGAGGATGGTACATATACCACCACTTCAGCTGAAACGACCGAAGTTCTTACAAAGCACATGTTTCCCGACTGTGAGATCTTAGAAAATCACACCTGGAATAACCATAAGACTGTCACTCCTACGGAGGTTGATTAGCTGGTTGCCCAGGAAGTGGTTAGTAAGTCAAAAGTCGAAGAAGCAATCAATAGCTTCTCTCCATATAAACCACCAGGGCTGGACGTGATATATCCGGCGCTCCTGCAGTGGGGTCTGGATATTATCTTAGACCAACTAGTGCATATTTTCAGAGCGTGTTTTGCTCAGGTATACATACCTGAGAAATGGAGAGAGGTGAAGGAATCTTTATACCCAAGCCAGGCAAAACTGATTATGCTAAGGCCAATTCATACCGCCCAATCAGTCTCACATCCTTTTTAATAAAGGCTCTTGAGAGACTGTGCGAACGAAACTTAAGGGAAATCCACGAAGACTGCTCTCCAAGCAGTCGTGTGCAGGATTGAACAGTCTCTGGATTGGAAAATGTCCATCCTGGCAGCACTTATTGATATCGAAGAAGCGTTCGACAGAACGACCTTCGATAATATCAAACAAGGCCTAACTAGAGATGGGGCTCCACCTACCATCACCAGATGGATAGAGAGGATGCTAAGCTGGCGGGTCGTGAAAGTTGATACAGAGGACACCACTATCAATGATCTGGTTAAGAGAGGCTGCCCACAAGGTGGTGTGTTATCACCGATCCTCTGGGACCTTGTGGTAGACAGCCTCCTACATAGCCTAAATGATGCGGGATTCCCTACTATAGGTTACGCAGATGACTTGTGTATTCTGCTTACAGGCAAGGTTGAGAGCGTTCTATGCGATCTCATGCAAACGGCACTTAGCTAAATTTCATCTTGGTGTGAGGAGCACTCCCTGACGGTGAATCCACTGAAAACGGAGTTAATCCTCTTCACC